CAGTGACAAGAGTGCTAGTCTCTGGTTTGCACATGCAGCACCAGCTTTCTTCTTTCTTTTATTTTCCATTGYTGTTGTCACCCAACAACAATACTGTAAGTTTAAATGTTAATTTGCAAGGTGTTCCAGGATCAATATAATTTCTAATATTTTTATTAGGATTATATTATCTTTAATACTCCCTTCCTTGGCATTTATAGCTTACCCAGCCTTGTAGAAATAATTACACAGAATGACACAAGTGATGTTTTCATTAGCTGAGGTTGTATAGTCGACTTTTTGCCTCAGTGTAGCAAAGTGTTTCAATAGATGCTCAACTCAATGTACAGTTGCACTTTGATGTCTTCTTAATCCTTGCTGAGTTTAGATCCTTTCAGCTGGGAAGCTATTAGGATTTGTAAAACAAAAGCATTTGTTGAATATAATATGTAATACTTTGAATGGGGAGAAAATACCTATAGACTGGCAACACAAAGCTGTCTTTAGYGAAAGTAGTTGAAATATCTTGGTGAATTTAAATACAAATGGTCCTCAGGCGACAATCTGTGTCTGACAAGGCTGTGTGTAAAAAACTGCAAGCTGCCAGCACTTAGACATTGTTGATGCCTCTGCTTTTCTCTTAGCCAGGAGGAAAAATGTGATGGGGGAGTGTTGGAGGAGGAAGAGAGTTTTTACCAGTGGTCTGAGGGCAGTGGAATGACATTAAAATAGAGGTGCTTATATCATGAAAATATAYCGAGGCACTGAATAAAATAATTTATCTTCTGTTGGAAAATAGGCTGTTTYTCTCTTAATGCAAGACATGGAAAAYACTTTAAACTATCCTTAAAKTCYSTAAAATTTGAAATTATCTACAGYGTTRTAGTACAGTASAGTAGCAAAAGCATAGTGGGTTTCTTACTCSTTTCTAAACTGCTGGCAGACTGAAACAAATACATTTTTTCCCTTGATTTTCCAATTATACTTTTGAAATTACCAGCATAACTGTCTTGGAAGCTGAAAATTCACCATTTACTTCATAAAAGCAGCAKCTGCAGTAGCTGTGCCTGGTTCCCATATAGTACCAAGCAGAAGTGCCTCTCTTCTACCCATGAAAGAAGTAAAATAATTATTGCAGAGCCTGTTGTAGTGATGCAAGTTGAGATGCAGTTAATAACCCAGCAAGAATTACAGTSAGGCTGCTCCACTCATTTCCTATGAGCTCCCAAAGAGCTGAGAAGCACAGCTTTGTSCTGGTGATCCAGGCTGCATACAAATCACCTCCCTGGGAAAATTGCAGCTCTTCCTTGGGCCATCTCACTGCTGAGTCTTCCAAGCTTACTTCCTTTTCTCTTCCATTGTCTTCAAGAACAGTAATAAGTGTGGTGAAACACAAATTATTCTGTTAGCACCCACAAAGTGTGGCTAATTAGACCAGTGTGTGTTATTGATGAGATCATATTATTTAAAAGAATGGGGAATCTGAAATTATTGGGTGGTAGAGAACATAACAAGCAGCGATTGATGATAATCTCTTTCCCTTTCTGGAAGGAGGAACAGATTTTGTATAAATGCATATAATTGAGCAAATTCTTAAAAAGAATACCCAGCAGTATGCTTTTATAAAATTAATCATGGAATCCCAGAGTAGTTTTAGTTGGAAGGGACCTAAAAGATCTTCTGGTTCCAACCCCTTGCCGTAGGCAGGGACACCTCCCACTGGACCAGGYTGCTCCAAGCCCTGTCCAACCTGGCCTTGAACACTTCCAGTGATGGGGCATCCACATCTTCTATGAGCAACTTGTACCAGGGCCTCATCACCCTATGTATAATGCCTAGCTTTTATGTATCATTGTATGTCATTAGTTTTTAAAATGCATTATGAAAGTGGGAAACTAAGGCRCAAGAGTTGCTCAGTGTTGCTCATCAGGTCACTATCAGATTTTATCATTTGAGTTCTTAGCTCCCCTTGACTGACAAAACAAATTAATTTCACCTTGTGGGTTTTTTAGATTGTTAAGCTTTGCTTCTTTATGAAAATGACGAAATGCTGCTGTCAACAAGCATGTCTCTTGTTTTACTTTGTGGACACTCAAAAAGTGTTCTACTTTTGGGCATCCTTAAATAACTCAGAGAGCGAGGATGAAGGTAATGACAACTGAGAAAATTATTAATATCTGTGWGGCACTTAAGGCTAGAAAAAATGCTGGCATTTTCGCACTGCATTTTYTTCCTTTACCAACAATGGCTTCATTTATTTTATACGSTTTACTGAGAGAATGTGGGACATTTAGCCATGTTTTTGTATTAATTACGTTTTAACGAAGTAAGCCTAAACCATATTGCCTTTTTTTTTCTTTTCATTTTTTTAGGCTGTAACTGGAACACTTTATCAAGTGTTTTGTTCATCAAACACAAATAAATACTCTCAAGTCTCAGTCTTCTGGATTAAGGTAGGAGATGTAGCTGTGTGCAGTCATTCTAAGTCCAGACAACATTGGTTTAGTTTTACAGAAAGATCTGTACTGTTCTTGGACTGGGTAAGGCTGTATAGCAGTGTCGTGATTTTTATGTGATGTGGGATTTCACTCAAGAAGCCACTCCTGACCAGACCCTTCTGGGCTTGCAGGCAGTTCTGGTGCTTCTGCTGGGRCAGCCTTGGTTATTGATCCAGGCTGATCAACTGCTGCAGAGCTCTGGCCTTTTCAGGATTCATTCTTTATATGCTTTGGGCATTTTTTTTTTTTTTACTTTTCCACGCTATCTCACCCCTCCTGTTTTTATGGGTAGTAGAGAATTGATTGTAGGCTAGGCTGAAGTWGATAGTAACATCATGGCTTTAACTATAAGGAAAATTGAGCTTTCAGACTTTCTGAACCTCTCATACATATCCCAGTCAGGGTCTTCATCCTTAATAAAAATAAGTATTCTTGGAAATCATCTTAGGACATCTGTAGAAATGCAGCAATCACGGCCTCAGACACATTGTATATACATAACTGACTCATTTTTTACATTGCTTTTCTTTTCTTTGCGCATTAAAAGGAGAAGAAAAAAATCTAGCTGTCTTGTACTGTTCAGCATAATTTGTTCTCAAGTATGAGATTTATACTTCTGTGAAGGGTCATAGGAAACTGCAAGTGAGGAAAAGTTCATCAGTGATCACAGGGAAGAAACATTTCTACCTATAGCGAGGTGAAAAAGAACAGCTCTTGTGGATCTGCTGGAAATAGCTGTTACGATTCAGTGCACATCATCCATCCTCCTTGGGAAAGGTCCASCTATTTCTGGCATTCTGAAAGCAAACTGTAGCACACGATTTTCTGGGAGAGAACAAAATGAGCAGGAGCCCTTAATCCCTCTTCGAACTGCCTGACCCCCGGCGCCCGTGTCCAGAACGCATCCAAGATGGGAAGCGTGGAAAACAAGTGCCTGCAGCAAAAACAGAGCCCTGTGAGATGGAGAGCCGGGAGCAAGCCTCCTTTCTAAGGGGTTTGGGTGTGATTTGCCAGTGAYTTCCTTGCAGGCAGTTTTATGGATCTGATTCTTTTACACTTTCTCACTGCAAYATGCAGCCACAACTGGATGCATTGCTTTTCAGCTGCACCCCAGAGACATTTTATTTTCTATTACTTACTAATTTGATCCGAGAACTTTTAAACAGTTTAAATTTGCTGTTTTCCATGGCAATCTTCAGGAAAATGARTTATAATCACTGTAATGCCCACAACAGTGGCCAGGCCCGAGGCTCTGACACTGGAGTGGCTGTGAGGGGATTGTAGGTGTGGAGTTTATTCCTTCATTGTTCCCTACAGCCCCGTGGGCAACCAGTGACCCTTGAAAGTTAGAAAGCTGCAAAGAGCCAAATGGCGCCAGGGTGATGTTCTCTCCTGCAGATTCAGTTTCAGGAGCACGGTGATACCTATGGTTTATGTCAAAGTGACAAGGYGCTTATGAGGCCTATTGATTGAAAAATTTCTGTAACTTTTTTATACATTRTCAATATAAGAATGTAATCACTTTTTACATATTATTAATATGCAATGTGATAGATTTCAATATATTATCAATAATAGCTTTTTCATATATTGTTGTAGGTTTTTATACAGGGTATTAGCAACATACAGTGTACCAGCTGGATGTAATCCAGCCAGCTGGATCGGTGCCTGGACAAAACAGAATCACCAAGCAGTATAAATCAAAAAAGTTCTGAAGAAGTAGACAGGTAGATGCTATAACAAGGAACAGTAGAGAGCACTAATGAGAATTTGGCAGAGGCACAAGACAGTCAGCTGAAAAATGAAATATGAAGACCTGGAGGACTAGAAAAAAAACCCATGAACATCACAACTGTGCATGCTCTGAAGTCAAAGATGAGAAGTCCACCATGATGAAGATGATGGTGTCTCATTAGAGGGAGACCCCCATGACCACCCAATTGAGGATAACACATGCGTACTTGCAGAACTGTGATATCATGTATTTCCATACCCATGTATGGTGTGGGCGTAGTGACGATTGTAATGTTACACCATGCTTACTGTATAAACACCTGCCAATTTTAAGCAAAGGCAGGTGGGTGAGGAGGAGAAATCCCCCTCACCTCCAGCGCTACAATAAACAAATACCTTCTCTATAGACACCGTTCTATGGGGTTTTATTTCTAGGCCTTTTTCGGGCATCACCCGACAGCTGCTGATTCCTACAGTTCGGGTGTGATGCGGCTGCGTTCGAGCAGCACAGAGCGTCCCAACCTGGGCAGAGAACGTGAATGGTGTTTTGTCCCTTCCGGGTGCCCGTACGCGCCCGCCGAGCCATGGCGGGACGATGGTCGCCACTTCTCRGGCGTCGAGAAACACCAAGATGACTACCATTCCCAGCATGCTCTGCGTCACTGCGCTTGCGCAATATTCATTTGGCTGCCATCTTGGCACCTGTTGCYCCACCTCCTCACGGTTGAGCTGCAGCAGAGACTACAATTCCTAGCGTGCCTTGCGGCTCTCGCGCATGCGTAGCGCCCTCGTCCGCCATCTTGGCCCGAGTAGACGCCGTCGCCGCCGCCACTAAACAAACCCGAGCGCGGTACCGGCGAACGAGGGGGAGGTGTGGCTGCCGCGGACCCCTCGATGTGCTGCGCACGGTCGGGCAGGTGAGTCCCGCTGCCCTCCCTGCCCGGGGCGATTCGYCTTGGGGAGAGGGGCAGCTCCCCTTCCCCGGACGGCGGGGACCCGCCGCCGCCTCAAGGGCCCGGGGCAGCGCCCTGGCCCCCACCCGCCGGCGGTGCCGCTCCGCTCGACAAGGGGAAGCAGCGCCAGCCGCCCGCCCCTCCCTCCCTCTCTTCCCCTGATGCCGGCGGGGACCCAGCGCCGCTGGTTCCGGCGGTCCCCCGCGCCCAGGGCCCGGGAGGGCAGGCAGGGACTGCCCGGGTGGCGGCTGGCTTCTGCTGCTCTTGTAGGATAGCCTCGGCTCCTCCAGCCCCCCGCTGTAARCTGCGACGATGTCGGGGCTTTTGTTCCCGGTGCCCGCTCCTCCCCACCCCCCCTTTCGTGCCGTTCCCTGCCCGGCCCAAAYCCCGCTCGCTCAGCTCGCCTCGGGCTGCTCTTTTTCCTTTATAATCCTCGTCGCATCGAGGAAATGCGCCCTCTCTCCCCGCCGCCCCCGGAATCTTTACGCGTTGGGGTCGGTCAAGGAGGTGTTGCTGTGTTTGGCTTATTTTTTGGGTGGAGGGMTCTGGTGTTGGTACATGGAGAGCAAATTTTCATGCCTATTTTGCCGTCCTGTCATATACTACAGGCTGGCGCAAAATGCATTCCCGGGGGGAAGGGAGAGCATGCGGTTCCATGGAAGAATTCTTTTAATAGGTACTCTGTGCATAGAGGGAGGAGACTTGAACATCAATTTGAACAGCATTTCAGCGTGAAAAAGGAAAAAAAAAGGCTTGAGAGGGAGATAGGAAACTCGGTGAAAAGGCTTGGGCGATTCATTTGAGCCAGAGAGTATAAGAAGTCCATACTCTTGTGAAATTGTCGAATTCCTGCATGCCACTACAAAGGTTGGGGCGGGGATGGGAACGAATGTGTCAGTGGAGTTATGAACAGGGTGAGAGGAGTTTACCTTAAGCTTGGGAAATCAATAAATTATGGGCTTGAGCATTTATATTCCTTCCTTTTTCAGCGACGCTGAGCCCTGGGGGAGCACAGACACAAGGGAAGGATGCCTGTGGTGTGGCCAACTCTTCTGGACCTCAGTAGGGATGAGTGCAAGAGGATCCTTCGCAAACTGGGTACAGTAAGATACAATTTGTGGGTCTGTATGTTTGCCCTTATAAAATTTGCTTTCATGCTGCTGCTTCCATTAAATACTTTAAAATGTCTGCAAGCATTTTGTAAGTAATTTCCTGCATTCTCCATGTGTCGTTGATTTGACAGCACTGGCTTAATATTGTGTTTGACAGATAGTCTTAGCCYCAGGAAAATGAGTAGAGAAGAATTGTTTTGGTGTGGTCCAGTCTGTCTTGGATGTCCCAGCTGCAGTGTTGCAGGACTGGGTTTTCTGACACTTAATATGCAACAAGATTCTATGTGAAAGGAGAGCCTTTGGGATCGGTTTTCTTTGTTTTGTTGGGATTTTTGGTTGTTTCCCCCCAYCCAGTTCTGTATTAAAAACCTTTTGTACCCCAAAAAATATAGTGGAATCCGGGTTTAACTGACCCTGCAGGACTTAATTCAAGTTACTGTTAAATTAAAGTTACTATTATGAGGACATGAAACAGGATTGAAAAAATGCTCACTTGTGATTTGCAGTTACACAGGTTGTCAGGGAAGTGGGAAAATTACATCCTCACTCAACTGCCATAGCCACAGGAGCCTTGTTCATTGTTTCAAATGTAGCTCAGTATTTGAGGCCCCTGCCCAAGGGAGATGTTTTTGTGCTCTGTTCTTGCAGATCTAAGTGTATGAGGAGAGGTGCTTTTGTGTTTTGAACATTTGCTCTTTCCTCACATCTGTTTTGGGCTACCACAGGAGAGAGAATCCTTTGTTAGATCTTTGATCTGCTGATCCAGCACAGTTGGTTTTGAACCAGTTTAGGGCTGAATTTTTGTAATTAGAGTTTGGGCTTTTGCCAGTTAAATGATGCATTATATTAGAAGGGAAGAAAAAAAAAAGCCTTAGATTTCTTCTCAGACCTTCTTCTGAGGATCATAATCTACGMGATTATGTCAGGAAGAAAGTTGAGGCTGTCTATAACTTCCAGTGACCATCAAGTCATAGCTTTTCTTGTTCTCATTTTGCTTGAATACTAAGAGATGATATGCTGTACTTCTTGACTGTGCCAAGGTTTTCATATGTTGTGAAGTAATCCACTTTAATTTTTGAGAGTTGAGAATTTATTTTCTYTCCCTTTGCCCTTTTTATTTCATTTCTTGGGAAGATGGGGTTTGTGTTCTGTTGAAACTGTGGTGCAGATGTTGTAYAMAACATTGCAACAAGCTGTACCATCTGTTAAGGTGACAGCCCTAAGTCTTAAGCAAGGCTCAAGAAGTCCAAAAGTAGGAGAAAATGCAGAATGCCAAAAGCTTTAGACCAGATCTGTGGTACTAAATTTCATTAACATAGCTGTGCTGGCTGGAAGTGTGGAAAAAAAACTTCCACCCGAGCTGACAGCAGTGTGCTGTCAGAGCCTTGCTGGTGCAGCTGAGCCAAACAGAACTGCAGCTACACCTCCTTCAATGACATAACTCAAGCTGATGGGAAGAAAGAAAAAAAAGCTGTAAAATAATCTTTTTGTGTTTTGCTAATAAGAGCTGTGTCACCACAAGGAGACCCTGCTAGTGAGGCAAAGCCAAGGCAGTGCCTCTGTGAGCTGAGAGGAGGCACATCACGGGACTGGGGGGTTAAGGAGCACAGGCAGTGGAGCAGTAGCTGTATGATAATCACATCCAGCAATAGCCATCTGCTTTAGAGGGTCCTGGTTTTCCAGCTCACATCTCRCTTGGCTGATGGTTCAGCAGTAGTGGGAGTAGTCCATCAGGAGTGGAACAAGGGTGAAGGTGACGCTGAAATGCATCTTCAGGTATGCAGGACTTGGTGTTGATTGTGGTTTATTACTGAACAAGGTGATGGTGGTAGCACATAACACTAGCAATAATTATAKTTACTTGCCAAACCGATTTTAGCTATTTGATGTGTTTTGGGTTGGAAAGGGAGTGCACCAGTTAGTGATTGCATAGGCACAAGGGTGAGAATGTTACAACTGTTCTGTAATCCTTACTAGCTTCCAAAAGACCAGAATGCACATTTTTAAAGYTGTAGTGTAGAGGATCTCTATTTATAATGCAGAACAAAAAGAAAGTCTACCCTTGATGAATAATTATATGGTTGCAATTGAGAATTACTTTAAGTTGTTAACAGAGGAAAATAATTAGTATTGTAAATATTGTAACGTGATTGTCTAAATAAATGTTGATATTRGTTATAACCATTGCATTAATAGGTGAATRTTTTATAACTGAAGCTGTAAATGCTTCTGTGTCACTTGGCATCCCTGGGCAGGCTGTGTAGTTAACCAAAGTGACTCTGCTTTTTGTTTTGTCTCCTTAATTAGGACAGGAGAGCAGGACTTCTTTTCAGCACAATTCCTTGATTTTGTTTGTAAATTAGCTCTTTGGAATCCTAAACTGAAAGCTTTTCAGAATAGCATCAGGCTTTTCTTTTGCAGCAAACTTTAGCGATGTTAGTTTTTGGCCTKCACCTTTTATTCTTGGTTTTGGTTAGCTGAGATCTGTTGTGGGGTTTGGGTTTGAGCTGGCTGAAATAGGCTTGTCATTTGAAAGGCACCTATGTAAAGCATCAAAAGAATTTGTATTTCTTGTTTCCCTAAACTGTGTGAAACTGAGAATAACGAGTCATTCTTTGGCAAATTAGCAGGCTCCATTATTTCAGTTGGATGTATCTTCACCCTGTTCAGTAGGACAAAATTCAAAAGTATTAGTAGCCTTTTGTGGTTCAAGTTTTTTAAAATAGTGATGGCATGACATCATAGTCAACTAGTATTATACATTTCTGRTAAATCAGAGTTGCATTTTTATCACTTAAACTTTGTGATGGCTCTGTGTTTAAGAATAGCTGGATTGCTTCTGTTGTGTTGAGCAGGTTTAATTCAGTGTGTTGCATTTCTTTCAGATTCAAGCAGTTCTAACATATCAAATAAATGAGCATAAAAGATTATGATTATAGTRTTTAACGAACTAGAGCTGATGTTCTTCATGCTAATTAAGGAAAAGCATTATGAAAAAAACCAGTTGCTCTTTTGATAGTGTATWTCTTTTCCAAGTCAAGCTTTTCTATAGATCTCTTAATAATGGTATGTATTAAGAGAATTCTGAATTACTCTCCAAACAATATCTTCAAGCTTTTTGCCTGAACAGTCCAGTCAGAGGGAGCTTGACACATTCATTTGGGTTTATAAACTAGATAATCCTCTGTGATGAAATAATTGTTTCCTAGAAATGCTTTATGCTGCAGAGTAGTTGACTGAAAGGGTTCTAAATCATCAATCTMTTTTGAAAAAGCACTAAATAATTGAAAGACATGTTTCTCTCAATGATTTTGAAAATTAATAGAATACTGTCAGTAATATGGAAAATAAGATTTTCCCCCTTTGCTATGAGCATTAAATAGAAATATTATTTACTCTGATTTTTCAGAACTGGAGGCCTATGCCGGTGTCATCAGTGCCTTRCGTGCACAGGGAGACCTTACGAAGGATAAGAAGGATCTTCTTGGAGAGCTCTCTAAAGTGCTTAGGTAACCCTGAATTTTTCAACTAAGAAACATGACCTGCTTTCTTTTAAGGTGTTGCATGCTTTTTCATTCACCAAGATCACAAAGTAAATCTGAATTTGGAGAAGTAATTCTTCATGTTGCAGAGGTTTCATTCCTGTCCTGCTTGGAGTTTTTATTAAGGAAAACAACCATGCTTGTGTGGTAGAAGCTTGACTGGTTGTTGGTGCCTTGTGGCTTACTGAGTGTTAGAAGGATTACAGCCAGGTCATGAATGTACACTGGCTTGTAGTTTTGTCAAGGTAGAACTTCAAGGTCTTTTGAGCCCAAGATATCTCAAGAAAGAGTGCTGCATATCCTGTGGGAGTTTTTCTGCTATGTCCTTTAAATGTATTGCTCTCATTATAATCTAGTGGTTTTTCAGGGATAACCTATGAACAGTAATGTTGTTTTCATTCCTCAATAATATTTTTGAGCAATAGTACAGTACTCTCTCACTGTGATAGCAAAAGTTAAGTGTCACTCTGTTAAAGTCCTGTTCCCTTTCTTATCTTAGATTATTAATAAGTGTAATTTTACCTGGAATTTTTAGATAAATGTTCATATCTTCCTCTGATTAAATGTGCTGCTTTATTGTTTTTTTTAATAGTATTTCAACAGAACGACATCGTGCTGAAGTTCGGAGAGCAGTAAATGATGAACGACTAACAACGATTGCACACAAGTAAGTTACAGGTCATTTTGTCCTTGATTTCCAAAAGTACCTTTGGAAAATATTTTATGCCTTAACTGAGTGGTGGAATTTTGAAGATTGATGGTGGTTTAAAGAATACATGTTAAAACACTGTACAGGTGACGGAGTTACTGTATCAGATCTACATCGGGGGGCCTAGAAACATTTATTTAGTACCTTTACATTTTGGATCTGAGGTCATCCCATTCACTGCACAAGTAGTGTAAGAAAAGTATTTTGGCATGAAGACCTTTCTGTAAGATAGACCAGAATAAACAGAGAATGGAGGAACTAGAGAAGCTCCTAAGTAGGATGAACATGTTTGCTTTTTTTTGTTTGTTTGTTTTGCTTTTAGTTTTATTTTAATCAATTTTAAAAGGCTGTATTAAGAGGAATAAATTACATGGGAAAGAGGTGGCAGCTTAGTGGAAAACAGTCTGTCAGCACAGAAGGSAAAAAAGGGTCAGAGATGAAAAAGCTGCAGCACACTGATGACATCAGTGTCCACCACTCTGTGATACAGCTGCTGTGCTGGCATCAACTGGATTTGTTCCTCCATGCATTTGCTTTCACAAGCTCCATGTGATTTTGGGAGGTGGGAGGACCAAGAGATCAAGCGGTTATATATCTTTGATAATTACTTAACCATCTTGCTATTAAGGACTGTCTTTGAATAGAGCTGCATTGTGTCTGTATTTTTTTTTTTTTTCTGTGTTACAACTGTTGGTTTTTTTAAAGTTTGACTATTGTAGCTTAGGTGTTATGAGAGGGAAAAAAAGAAAACATAGGAATAGGAGGATCCTTGGAGTTAGCAACTGTTTGATCCAAGACTAGTCAAAATCAGCATACTGRTTTAGTGCTATAGAAAGACTTTATTTAAGTGTTTTAATGTTCAAGTTTAAAGATTTAGAAGAATACTGTTCACCGAACAAAACCCACTAACTTGCTTACAGACCTTTAAAGAAAGGGGTGGGGAGGGAAATAATGGAAAACAGTTTGTTGTCMAATCAGGATCCTTTCCCTGATTCARGTTTTCCTTTTAGTAGTACTTCTGGTCTTAGCGTTTTGCAGAATGTGAATAGTTAGTCCTGAGGTGTTTGCACTTCAATGAAATATTATAATCCAGGAAAGGTTYCATTTTTATGTGCTGCTTTTCTTTATTTTCCCTGTGGCAATTCCTTATGAGTAAAGGTTGGTAATATAGTATTTGACTTACATAATTCTCTAACTCACTATGAAAGCCTTCTTTGCTAGCTTTTGTACATTTATGTTTTRTTTTTACAATGTATTTTTACCTACCGGCTTATGTCGCTCTCTATACARTATGCATAGGCATGAGGAATGCTGAAGCATATCAAGATTTAACAACAGAGCAGATCCTCTGCACTTTACAAGCTACTTTGTAGTAGCTTTTGCTGCAACTTGCTTGAAGTATTTCATGTGAGAAGTTGATTTGCTTAAGAACATTACAGCATTGAAAAATAAATTTGCTATTTTGGTTTTGCTGATTTGACTTATGTAAAACAATCAAACATACTTAATCTAGATAAGAGCAGTGCTTTTATGAAACATTCTAGTGTGGGTGTGAATACTAAGGTTAAGAGCAAATTAGAGCAGAAGACTGTTTTCTGTTTAGGACGATGTYCAGGGTGTATTTAAATAATTTTATGTTCTGTCACCTTGTTTGGGACTGCCTTAAGTGTCAGAAACTCTTCAGTTCAGGTAAAAAAAGATTTGCCTTAGAAGCTGAGGGTTTTTCCCTRTAACATAATCAATTTCAATAGTCTTTTACAAAATATGTTGGATTTCTAGGTATTTTTGTAAATCCACAATTAAAGTGTGTACCTATTCTACCTGAATAGTAGCTAACCCAATGGTTAAAGCATTCACACACCTCTGGCCCTTGAATGTTTTGTAAAACAAAACAACAAAATTTTCAATTTAAAATTAGAGGTTTTCTGTATGAGGTAAGAAAAATGGAAGGGCTCTCATGAAATATAGGAAGTTCAGTATTAGCGCTCTATTATGTCTTAAATTTCCCTTTAGACTTGCAGTAATGGAGAGAAAAAGATACTTAAATAAGATACTGAGTATTTGGAAACTTATCAGAATACTTACAGAATGTGCATTTCATTTTAGTATGTCTGGACCAAACAGCTCTTCAGAGTGGTCCATAGAAGGTCGTCGACTGGTGCCGCTGATGCCACGACTTGTTCCACAAACAGCTTTTACTGTTACCGCAAACGCTGTTGCCAATGCAGCTGTTCAGCACAATGCATCTCTTCCAGTTCCTGCAGAAACTGGAAGCAGAGAAGGTGAGAGAAAGATGGGATTCTGCTGCAATCTATGGGAATGTAAAAACATTGTCGCAGTGGAAATTGGTGCCTTAGATTTTAAGTGTTTAATATAAAAGATATTTTTTTGAGACCAGGTTGGAGGGGGCTTGTAGCAACCTGGTCTAGTGGAAAGTGTCGGTGTCCCTGCTCATGGCATGGGGTTGGAACTGGATAAGCTTTAAAGTTCCTTCCARCCCAAGCCATTCTATGAATCTATGAAAAAAAAATGCAGATCTTTCTTWTTAAATATTATTCACAGAAATATTAAAATCCTTTTTCCTTAAAGATACCTTTGCAGTATCTGCAGCATTATTATGAATGCTTTGTATTATTGACACTCTAGGAACTGAAATACAGAAAATCAGTGAATGTAATTTCCTGACAAATTGGGGTTAACTTCTTCAGCTCTGTWAACTTTAAAAACTTGGACTAATGGCTTAAAATTTTGTAAAGTTCTGTACGTGATGAATGATGTTTCAGAATGCTTTATTTTAAGAATGCAAGTAGGTTTCAGTGAAAGTGAAGAAAATACTGCTTTGGCTTTTTTCCTTCAGATTAAACGTACTATGGTAATAATTYGAAAGGTTGCTTTCTGCATTTCCTGTGCTTTTTCAATAATGATAGTGCACTTTCCAGCTGGCTTGGCTGAGCAGGCTTGAATTAGGCTTCATACAACTGGTGAATTCGTAACACTTCATGAAACAAACTGTTTTATCCTGGTTTTGTGAGAACTATTGGRTCATTGTGTTATTACTTAYRAGCAGTGGTTTAAAAAAGCTGCACRATCAGTTCTTCATTACTGAAGGAATATTTTGGGTTTTTCAGCTGATATGCTATTGAGGAGAGGCAGTAGCACTATTCTATCAGTTATTAGTTAGATATGGTCATTTACAGAAAAGCAAGAAGATCAATGTATTGAATCAATGCTAAAATGAAAAATAACAATTTATAAAGTAAAACATCAGATTAATRCAAAAAAATCTCACACTGGCAGCACAGATTTTTGGGGATGGGAGGAGGGGAGGTTAGATTTCTGTGTTGTCTTTGAAGACCATTAATTCCGTGGCCATGCTTAGCTCAAACTGGGGAGTATTCYACAGCAACAGGATTGCAGAGGGAAATACAGGGATAATGACCCAATAAGTCTTTGGCTTCCATTTCAGTTGTAAAAATAGAATAATGGGATTCTGCACTTCAGTTATATGGAAGGTGTCTTTTCTCCTCTTCAGTGGTGGTTTGCTATTCCTACACAAGTGCCACTTCAACCCCAACATSTACCCCTGTTCCAAGTGGCAGTGTAGCAACAGTGAAGTCCCCCAGACCTGCCAGTCCAGCCTCCAATGTAGTCATCTTGCCAAGTGGAAGCACTGTTTAYGTCAAAAGTGAGTGATACTAGAAACTGATTATCAAAAGGAAAAGAAAGGGACAGTGTGGCTGAACATAGACTGAGTTAACACTCAGACCAGATCTTGGGCAAGTCATTTAAGGACTTTGTGYCTTCGTTTAGTCTAGAGAATGAATTCATTGCTTCCCTTTTTCAGAGAAATTATGTTCAGGATAAATCCACTCACTGCGAAATGCTGCAAGGAGCAGTGAAGGTGAAAGGATAACAAGTGAAAAATRTTTTGAAAATTAAATACAGRAATTTCTRTATATCTGTGGATTTCTAATCCATCTTGTTGAGAACTTGTCTTTAAGGTGACTCTGTTGGTTGCTTCTGCAGAGAACTTCCTTCTRCTTTAATAATACATCATAGTCACTTACTTGAGTTAGAAAAGGTCCCTCTTTTCCACTTTCRCAGTTGACATAGACTAGGTTTCTTGGATGCAGTTTCACAAGGGTTTGTGCTTACATACTACATCTGGCCTTTTTGTGATTTATCTGGAAGTCAGTGAGGCTTGTGTTACTGGGCAGCTGTGAAAGCTTCATGCAAATCCTACCAGATACCCATCTTCATGTGTTGTAATCTGGAAATCCAGGGCAGAGAGTCTAGAAACAGTATTTGCTTGAGAAGTGTGTGGGTCCCKGTCTTCATTTAGCTAATAAGTCAGCTAGTTCTAAAAGCAGATTATGTTCTTATATATGCCCTCATCATGGGTAGTTTTATTTTAGTATTAAAAGGTTTCCTTCAGTTCTTATTTGGTTCTATCAAAACAACAWATGAAGATTAATAGTGAAGTAGGTAAATGCTATTTTTATCCTTGTTCTGGATACCTTTAATATTTTAAAAATTATTTTCGTCTTTATTCTATATGTGTACGTCTGTATAAGCTAATAGCTAGGCAGAAATGCCACATAGTACATAAATATAATGTTACCTGCCAACAACTATGTTWAATGGCTCTGTCAGCCCATGAAACCCATTACATTAAGGTTTTTCATTTTTGTGATCTATGCACTAATCATTTGGCTTTAGTTTAAAGATTCATTCTCCCTTTTGACATATTAAATTTAACATTAAAATTTTAATGTAGATTTTATTGAATTATTACATGGCAATGAGTATCAAACCAGTCAAGACACATGATTGAGAGATGATAATTTTTGATGTCTGTCCCTAGTTTTCATTTTTCCCTACTTTATGTGCTCCATTTTGTTACTGTTTTTATTTACCTTTTTTTTTAAGAAACTGTGTGTCTTTCAGAGTATGTTACTTCAGTCATGACGATTTTAACAAACCTGCTTAGGAGCAAAGTGGGGAAGTCTGAGTTACAGTCAGGGCTTTGCCACTGGTCTGTCATGTAACCTCTTCCAAGTCACAGTCTGATTAAGCCATTAATGTTTCCATGATTGCTTCCTTACTTATCAAGTGTGAGTTACCATCAAGCTATATTACCTTTTAACTAAATGTTTCTGGAAAACTTTGTTCAAATGCAATTTCTAACATGAAATAAGAATAATGTTCTTGCAGAACCCCAGCAGTGAAAACAGAAAGTGAAATGAGCTGTACTTAACATAAAATAATGCTCTGCTAGTTTAATCTTACTTTCTCACTTCTTGATTGATTGGTTGATGGGCTTTTTTGTAGACAGGGACCAGAAACAAAGAGTTTTTTCTATTTCTTGGTGCCCCACCAAAATAACAACTGTGTCCTTACATACTAGCTGCATGTGGATTTTGGATTCCAATGGATTCTGAGATTTTTTAATTCCTGCACATGTTCGATATGATTAGTGCACTCACAGTTATAAGTTTGCATAGTGCACCCACAGTAATTTTTAAAACCCTGTCCATAATAAACCTGAAAGTTATGTAACCAAACCTCTGCTTTATAGAGGGAGATCATCACRAGGCTTGTTCAGGGCCATGAATTAAATTGTTGATTAGAGCTTTGAAATCTGATCTTGTAGRTCCACACTTCACTTGAACTGCTACAGCCAACTCAAGCTAAGTTTTGAAGTCCAAAGCAAACTTAAAATAGAGCCTTTGCTTCARTTCCCTTGTTCTGTTTCCCGTCTGTGGGGATACAACTGTCAGCCTTTGGAAATGTACCTGCAAATGAGCTGCTATTCCTACTGAGAATACCATTTTTCAGAAGTTGCCTGTCGTACTGGACAGTTTCTTGTCCATGTTAGTTCTTGCATCTTCACTTTTCGAATGCCAGAATATTTAGTAATTTTATTTAGAGATTGACCATAATTGGATCCTGGCCCTTGTTAGAGATTGACTACCAACTAAGTTTGCTTTGATTACCAGCAAAACTGCTTTTTGCTGTGATGGTGTTCTTTGTCTGTAAACCTCGGGCACATGGAACAAGATTTTCAGTGTTCTGCATAGGCAGGAGTGCATCTCTTTAGCTTATCTCTGATTGTTTTTCTTTTTAAGTGGTTTAACACATGTTACTATGGTAAGCCTAAATCACAGAATTGCAGATTTGTCAAGGTTGGAAGAGACCTTCAAGATCATCTAGTCCAACCATCAGCCCAGCACTATCGTAATCACCCCTAAACCACATCTGTATCTCATTCAGTTACCACTTGAGCACTTCCAGACTGTCATCTTCCTGGGCAACTTATTCCAATGCCTGACTACTCTTCTCTTACTGACTAAAATTTTTTTTTTCTAATATCTAATCTGGACCTCCCCAGCACAACTTGATGCTGTTGGCTCCTGTCCTATCACTTGTTACCTGGAAGAAGAGTCCAACCCCCACGTGGCTGTACCCTCCTGTCATGGAGTTGTTGAGAGCAAGAATGTCCCCTGTGAACCTCCTTTTCTCCAGTCTGTGACCCCCAGCTTCCTCAGCTGCTCCTGGTGCTCCAGACTCTTCCCTATCTCCGTTCCCTTCTCTGGACACACTCAGTGTCTCTCTTGTCAGTAGGTGCCCAGAACTGAATCCAAGACTGAAGGTATCTCAGCAGTGCCCAGCCCAGGGGATGGTCACTGCCCTKGTCCTGCTGGACACACCATTGCTGGTACAGGCCAGGTGCCATTGTCCTTGAYCACCTGGGCACACCTGTCTCATATCCAGCCAGCTTTTGTCCAGCATCCCTAAGCCCCTTCCTGCTGGGCAGCCCTTAAGCGATGCTGCCCCCAGCTTGTAGCTCTGCAYGGGGTTGTTGTCACCCAAGGACAGGACTTAGCACTTGGCCTTGTGGAACCTCAGCCCATTGATCCAGTTTATCCAGGTTCTGTAGAGCCTTCCTGCCTTCAATGCTAGCCAGTAGCTGTAAGAGGTTTGCAAGGTTATTATACTGTGTCTTTGTGTAGTCTAGACCAGTTTATGAATCTGTTGGCTACTTTGGCAAGTTTCATTTGGATTTAAGATCCATTAATTATGCTGTTATCCTTTACTGAGCTGAATATTGGAGCAGATTTTTTTTTCTATGTGTGCAGTAGATGATTGTGAGAGATAATGGACTAATTTAAGCCTGAACTTGTTTTGTTTTTCATGATTGTATGTTAGGTGCCTTTTGATATCTGTTGCAYGAAAGGCACCGAAGAAGGCGAAAGCTGATACAGTAAGGATTGACTTACACAGTTAAACTATATAATAAAAAAAATTATATATCGAAATTCTGTATTGAAAGGCCGAAGAGTAGTGTAAGGATCAACATGGTATAAAAGTAGGTGCAAAAGCTGAAATCCAGGAAGACTGTAGGGGGATAAACTYTGGTAGTCCAGGTGCTGTAAACAAAACAACCACTAAAAAGCCGATGTGTGAAGTTTTAAACTAAAATGTGCATGGCATTATCCCAGTCCCCTTGTGTGTTTAGTCTGACTAGTCAAACTTCTGGAGGCAGAATGAAAACCATGTACTGGCTCTTACATTCTTTTAATCTCTCAGACTGATTGAAGTAACCCAGTAACTGAGTAGCTTGGGGTTTTGGGTGATTTGTCTTTTTGATTCCAGGTACTGTAAGTATAGCCCATATCAAGGACTAAGCATCTGAGGTGTGAAACAGGTTGGCTGTGACCATAAGATGTAATTTAATGTTTACTTCTTTTTATCTTATTTGAAAGAGTGTGTAAGACTCAAAAAGGGTGTAGTGTTTCAGAAAGCACTGAGATCTGCAGACAGAGGGGAACATAATTTTAAAAAAAGTATTTCTTTTGCAGGTGTCAGCTGCTCAGATGATGATGAAAAGCCCCGCAAAAGACGGCGAACGAATTCTTCTAGTTCTTCCCCTGTTCTCCTGAAAGAAGTCCCGAAGGCGGTGACTCCCGTCACTAAAACTATCACAGTGCCTGTAAGTGGCAGCCCCAAAATGAGTAATATAATGCAGAGCATTGCCAACTCCTTACCACCACACATGTCGCCTGTGAAAATAACCTTCACTAAGCCCTCCACACAGACAACAAACACCACAACACAGAAGGTATGTGGGGGAAGCTGCCAAATGTTACTTTATTCTGGTTTTGTCAATGAATAAGATGTGATGTTTGACTCTTCCTTTCTGTATCTGACTACCTGTTTTTTTAAGGATTGCACATGGGATAAGGTAATCCCTCTTTAAAACAAAGGCAAAACCAAACTCTTGTATGAATTTAGTTCACCTGTGTGTGAAAGGACCTGGATTGACAGCCGTGGAGACTGAAGCCCTCTTTTTATCCACAGAACAGGTACAGCACAGGCAGCGGGAGTGCAAGCTTCCCCCAGACTGCCCCACCAATGTGCCTCAACCCTGACCTGAAGGGACCACTTCTAGGGATGAGAGGGGATTCAGTCTCCATGCTCATTCAATTCTTGGCCTCTCTGGTGAGACTGCCAACAAGGTTACCAGTTAGTACCATTTGTGGTGTTGGGTTTTGTGATATGGACACTAGTCCACTGAGAACTGGATCACATAGGCCACTGAACAGCCTTCAGATGGTAACAACTATTGGTCAAAGGTAATCTTTCTTATTTCTATTTTCCTTATTTATAATTATTMTTTGCAGTAGTAGAATTCGAGGAGAGATGGCATGGGCTTTCCCTTGGCATGCCTTTTATCTAGAGATTAGTTTTTTGGGCTCTATAAGGCTTGTTCTTGGAGCTGGTCAAAGACCGGGGGCTTTATTTTCCATTCAGTACTAGTGTGCCATTTCTCATTCTACATTAACAGTGTTACAGTGGTCAAAATCAGTTGCATTATTTCAGTTGAGTGTGCCTAGCTTTCACCACAATGCAGTGTGCAGAAAAGATTTCCCTTGTCTAAATTTTTATTTGGACTTAGATTTTTAAGTGCCTAATCTATGGCATGACTATTTTCCCATTCTTTAGGCATTTCAGTTGTGTATTTTTCTGTCCTTAAGATGTAAAAAGAAAGATGAATGGTTCAGACCAAGTTCATTCTTGGTGCAGTTATTAATTATGGCAGACTTCAGGGAGGGGGAGAGTCTCATGGAATTAATCTGGCCTCAATACTGACGGACTTGTGGTAGGCTGGCCGCTAACTAGCATTGTTTTTCAGCTGTGAGAGTTTGATTACTGAGCTCAAACTTTTACATAGTATTTGTTCTACTAGTCTTCTTAATTGCTTTATGACTCTTTGGATTAGTGGAGTTCCTGTGTCCTGTTTTTCGGAACTTTAAAACCAAGTAAGATTAACTGAAGTAATGTTCTATAAAGATGTTGACTTCTCGTCTCTTCCCACTCCAGGGCTCTTTGCTTTCATTTGATTCACTGTTATTCAACAGTGTCCTTAATCAAATTTCATCTCTGAATACATGAGTGTATAAGAGAAATCCCTGAGAGAACAAAAACCATCAAATTAAATGTTCTGCATTCAGTGCAGCAAATCCACAGCTACTATAGGGCTTAACYTATCCATCCTGTTGCACATTAGGGTAATCATTTGTGCAGGAAGAGTTTTTTGCCTTAAACATCTGTAGGGTTGTGTAAAGTACGGGTGTTACATATCATAGAAATTAAAGATTGAYTATACTAAGTCTCCAGAAGAGTGGACTCTTTGTAGGACCTTTCCTGTAGTTGTGCCTGTGCTTGTTCTTTTATGGAAATTCTAGAGTTTGCTTTGCAGTCTATTTATTTGACTGTCTTAGTAATATGCAATGACAGGAAAATCAGTGCTTGTTTTGTTAGGTAGCCAGAGTAGCATTTGTATCTGAACTTGTCACACTGCCCTCTTTTGTTGGATTTAGATTTGCCAAAATATATAACTGGATCATTTTGGTGGGAGAAATCCGCTTTAGCAGTTTTAAATTGAATGTCATTCATGTTCATTTGTATCCAACCACACATTTCCAATTTGAATGTAAGTTGGATATTATGAATGAAATTCTTTCTTTCTGCATGCCAGCTCTTTGAATTGTTTTGACGTTTTAGTAGATTGGAGGWAGATTTGCCCTAACAACTAATGTCACAGCTTCAGTTTCTGGATTCTCTTGTAATAAAGTCATCTGTCTAGGACACAGRAGAAATCTAGCTAGTGAAGCTTCTAGCAGTTATAATGACTTTAATTTTTTCAGGGGCTAAGTTTTGATATCTCTCAAAATAGAGCTGGCAGGACTAATTTCAGTACCTGTTAGGAATTAGATTTTACTGTAACAATTTAAATCAACAACAACAAAATTACCRCCTTGATTTTTGTATATGTATGTATGTTTTGAACTCAGGCAGTTTCTCTGCTGTTAAACATGGGATGTAGCTAGGTACACAGTATGAGATTATTTGGATAATTTCAACATACATGAGAAAATAGTATTCCAGAAATATAATGGTTGTAATGAATTGTTGTGAAATTTTTACCTGAATTTTATTTTMTGGATATACTTCATACATGAGGATTACTAAACTTTGCTCTGCTCTCTTAAGTTTGAAAAATGAGGTAGAATAGACAGATCCAAACCTGTTTAGTCACAGTATAACGATCACTGTTGAATTCTAATGCTTTACATGCTTTATTCCTTGCATGTTTAARTAAACTGTTTTAAGTGATGATCTTGGACAGTAAATGCAATGGTCTACAGGAGTTGTAATTATGCCTAAATTCATTCCACATACCTGTACTTAGCTGTGATGCTGAACTTGCCCTGTTGCTGTATAGTTTATATTCACACTAATCTATATCTGCCTTTTTTAACTGCAAGTTGTCCTTTGCCTGTATTCCTAAATTAGTTATACTGGGTGAAATAGAGCTTACTCTAAACTTCAGACAATAGGGAAGTATTTCTAGTGTTAACTGACAGTTTAAGGAATAGGATGAATCTCCAGAGGCATATAATAGAAACTTTTCACTTCAAATTCTCACACTAGAACAACCTTTGTCATGTTCAGTTCGTCTGCATGTTTTGTAGCCTAAGAGCAATTTGAGAAAAGTGTTTTGATTAAATCAAGATTAGGCACATAAAAATAAGACTGATGCAAAGTAAATGTTCACACTGGAGGATATAATTAAGTAGAAAAGCAGCAGAATGTGGAAACCTTGTCCTTCAGACGCTGGTTAGTTGTGGTCAGCCTGCTACAACTTGTGGGGATAGTAAGGTTTTGATTTTCCTCAGATCAAGATACTAAAGGTTTAGCTAAGCAGCTGAAATCATCAAGCTAAGAACTGAGGTAAAAGGAGAGTCAGAACCAGCCATGGTGATGAAATTTGCTGCTTTTCTTCCATCCGTGTGGCTATTTCCCTTTTTATTTTTTTCTTTTTTCTTTAAACAAGTTCTAAACTCGTAATCTCTTGCTGCTTGATCTGTTGCTTAAGTCTGTTTCTGGTGCCATTATCATTATTTCTTCATCAGGCAAGGTTTCAGTAGTGCTTGGCTAGCAGTGTAAGACTGTGTGTGAGCTGACACAGGTTTTCTTTGCTCCTTTTGTACCTTTTTTTTCTATCAGCTGTGTTACATTGAATCATTAATAAGCTTAAATTTTCAAGGTTTTAATAAAACTTTTTTTKGAACAATAGCATTATTAACATAATTTATCAATATTCTTGCTTGATAAACTGAAAATATATTGTATTTCTGTGCTTCTTTTTCTGTTTTAACTGTGTAAGTGCAAGAAGTGACATATAAGTTGAATAAAAGGAATTTCTTTACGTAAACAGTTCCCATATTCAATACTTAATAAATGCTTAGTTTTCTAGGTCTGTTGTATAAGGACAGACCTCAGTGCTATCATGAATTCTGTGTTTTTCTGTGTCAAATCAGATTCATGGAATTCTAATTGTAACTCACACTGAGGTGATGTTTATTATCTTCAGACAAATGGTTTTCACACAAATGAGAAAAAAAAGTTCTTGTTACTGAGAGCAATAAATAAAGCAGAAATTTCGTAAACCTAAACTGTTCTTCTTTCACTGATGAGATACTGTTTACAGCCTTGTACATCAAAAACATTTTTTTTGCAACATTTGGGAGAACAGCGCTTAAAACTTGCTGGAAATCCATTCAGTTTCTCTTAAAATAGRTTTCAAGCTTTCTGGCCCAGTTTAATGAAGTCAAGTTCATTCCTGTTTCTTTGCCTTCAGACATGAGATAATTCTACTTTATTGGATAGTAATTGTTGTCCTTAAAAARTCCTCCTAATTTTAAAAAAATGTTAATCACCATTTCTTCAAAATAATTGAAGTATTTTTCTTGCAAGCAGATGTGATTGACACTCTTAAAAGCTCTTAATAAAAATGTATCATTAAAACTAAATACACAGACATGTTACTGAAATTCTGTGCATCTACATAAATGCTAAGAACAAATGAATTTCTTCTTGTTTTTTCTTTTTTCAGGTGATAATAGTAACCACCTCTCCAAGCTCAACTTTTGTACCCAACATCCTTTCCAAGTCCCACAACTATGCAGCAGTTACAAAACTTGTCCCAACATCAGTCATTGCCTCAACTACTCAAAAGCAGCCCGTGGTTATCACTGCTTCCCAGTCCTCTGTGGGCAGCAGCAGCAGCAGCTGCTCCACTCCCTCCTGCACTGCAAATACTATTGCTGTGACTGCTGTAGTGTCGTCCACACCATCAGTGGTTATGTCAACAGTGGCACAAGGTATGGCAATTCTCTTATAAAGGCTCTTTCACTGAGGAATTGGACTTTGCTTTGAGAATAGCACTGGGGAGATGTGCTGTATGTTTACCTATGATGAGGAAAGCGTGAGACGTGAAAGAATCTGCTGATGAAACTAATCCAAGAAACTCCACAAAAGTTCTTGTTGAGCTCTTCTTCTTTACATCAACAGTTAATGTTCAGATCCTCTTTTAAAAGAGGGTGTGGTTAGGTGGTCTGACCTATCTTTAAAATAACACAACCTCAAGATGACTGGCTTTAAGAACTCTGCCTAATGCCTGATTTAGAAAAACATGCAAAGTCAACATCAAATAAATCCAACTTACTAATGTGCCCAAATGTGACAATTCTGAAAGGTAGAGGAGTGTTTATCAGCATGTCAGTTTTAAAGTCCTTTATAGTAAAGACCTRAGTGGGCCTGATTTCCTAGTTTTTGATTTCTAATTCCAGCTGTGTATGTGAATTTGACTGTTTCAGCTTCACAGTCACCAGCTAGCATTTGAAAGGGAAGCKGTGAATGAATGAATTAATGAATGAATGAAAGGGCCTTAGTGGGCAGCACTTGAAAGAAAAACCACCTGACAATGACAAGTGCTGCATCACAATTTTTACTGGTGTATACTTTCCCTTCTTGTTTCATTTGACAAAATATTGGGTAGCCATATCAAGGCTGAGGAGGTATTTTYCTTCCCTATTGCTTGTATTAATATAAGCAGATACTAATGTGTGAAGCAGAAGGGCTCACAGCAGACTTTCGTATTGTTTGAAACGTTGATTTTTAGTTGGGTTTGATCATGGAAGAGACTTTCATTCCGAAAGACATTAGGTGGAATCCCTCTAACAGTTTTTTTTCCCCATACTGTCAGTGCAATGATGGTGAAAAGTTTTGTGAGATGAATGATAATCTCTACAAATGTAAAGTTGAACTCATGAATGAAAAGAGCTGCCCAAGGAAATGGTGTAACCTTCCTAAAGAAAGTAGGGAGAAAAGGGTTGCTTATTTAGATTGCCAGAGCTGTACATTTACTATGATTTCTGTCATTATCRCTGCCATCTGTTTCTATTTTCCACTACAATTGGGATTTAGTTAAAAATTGCATTTATAAGATATGGACTTTGTCTGTTTTGGTGCATATGGATGTGCATTTTAGAGTTACATGCAAAGCCAAATTTTTCTGTGACAGCTGTGTAGGGGAATGACAAAAATAAACAAAAAAATTTATTTGGGAACTTTGTATTTCCRTCTTACTGCAGACTTCTTTTAATCACTTTTACTTGTAAGATCACCTAACCTAACAGCACAAAACAGGTGTTGCACAATTTTATAACTTACATTGCATTTTTAAAATGCCAACTAACTCTCTTGGTAAAAGGTACTCCCTTCCAATGTTCATGGATTTCATATTTGACATCCTCCTATCTCTAACATTTTGTCATCATGATTTTAGAATCATTCAGTCACAGAAYGGTCTGGGTTGGMAGGGACCTTAAAGACCTAGTTCCAYSCCCCCTGCCAGSGRCAGAAACACCTTCCACTAAACTAGGTTGTTACAAATATATATCTATAAGTAAAATACTTTCACTATAGGTATTGTGCTGTCTTGAGCCTAAAGATGAGTCTTTGAAAATATTATTGAATTATTTGTATTACAAAAGGTGCAGAAATARACTGGGATTGTGGTCTTTCCATTAGCTGTTGTTCTACATTGAAWATCTGTATAAAGCTCCCTTGCCTCCTAACAGAGCACTTCTGCTACCTGGGAACTTTATTTCCTCATGTGTATCAATGCATTTTTCAGTAGTTGAAATGCAAAATTATTTTAGGAATTATGATATATTTCTTTCTCATTGCACTGTTCAATTTTAAACCATTTACTCTTTCRCAGGTGTGTCTACATCAGCAATTAAAGTTGCCTCTACCAGACTACCTTCCCCAAAAGGTTTGGTTGGGAATCCAACTCAGATCTTAGCACAGTTTCCCAAACAGCATCAGCAGTCTCCCAAACAGCAGCTGCACCAAGTCCARCAGGCCCAACAGCCTCAGCAGCAGCAACCGCAGCAGCAGCAGCTGGTGCCGTGTTCTGTAGCCCCGCAGCAGCCGCAGCAATCTCAGCTGGCCCCTGGCATCAAGCCCTCCATTCAGATCAAACAGGAATCAGGTAGTTGGAGTTGATCTTGGGTCACRTTGGTGAGGTCTCATTGCAGCTCAGGAAAACGGGGCAGAATTCTGTCACAAAGTGTACATGGGGGAGTGGTTGTGAAGGCATAATTCCTGGAATACAAGATATGGCTTTTAACAGGAATATAAGTAGATAGTGAAGGATGTTTTAATGTTTTCAAGTAATAGTAATTTAGGAATTTGGTTGTTTCACTCTTCTCATTTGGTTCAGGTATTACAGACCATACTTTAGGTATATATGTTTTATCTTAGAGGTTKAGAGGTGTGTAAATAACTTCAAAAGTAACATAACTGGCAACCTGGGACGCATCAGTTTTCTGAAGATCCAAGAGCTGTTSAACTATATCAACTGGAAGAGGAAGTTACTCCATGTTTTAATTATTTTCTTTGATCCAGAAATCAAAATGTACTTTTGAGGTACATGTCAAAACAAATACAATTATATCTGGAAGTTGGACTGGATTCTTTTTGTAACATTTATTCATTCAGCTGACTTTGGGCAAGTCATGTAATCTTTCTTTTTTGGCTTTTCTCTGCTGTAGCACACAGTTCTTATCAAGAAGTAAGAAATAAAGCTTGTAAAGTTATCCAGTTCTAAAAGAAGTGCTATAAAAGTGCAAAGTATTTTTATATTAATATAAAATCAGTATTTTATATTAATCCCAGCAGTAAAATTATTATTTTATACTGTACTTTTTAGATCAAAGAATTGCAATAGACCATAGAGTGAAAAGGTAAACAGCCCTACTCCTGTCCTTTGATATTAGGATAGGAACACGATTATTAGGACCATTGCTTAAGAAAAATAATGGCTACTAATGAAGACGTAAAAAAGGCCTCCAGCCACTGAACAGTATCAACATGAGTTTGATTTCCTTGTCTTCTACAACAGACTTAGGCTCAATGTGCTTTTTAGTTTAAAGTTTCTGTAGTAATACCATCTGATACAAATTCATTTTGGAAAATGTGAATCAGTTTTCATGGGGACTTTATTTTTTATCTAGTTTTGTATCTCGATGATGCAGAGACTTCAATTTCTCTTTCAGTTTGAAGCTTTTTTGCTTTGTACTGCTTTTATAGTCTATGTAGGGAGGAGAAAACGTCTCTGGAAAACGTTGCACATCTTAAGTGGACAGTAATGCTCACCTAGAAATACTTGTTTACATATGTAGGTGCATCATCTAGATGGGATTCATCCAGGCTCTGTGTTCCATGGCATTTGGCCACCACAGTGCAATGCATTTACCTCATTGTGGAACAGATCATAATATGCACATCTGGATTTACTTTTGACAGATTATGTGAATTTGCTGGTTTGCAGCTGAGAAGTGAACCTCACAGAGGTCCCATTCTCCAACACAAAATGGAGGGAGAGGGAGCAGAATCCTGGCAGTACTAAGGTGGTCCTCATCCTTCATTCTGACTGATTCTACCCATAGCTTAAGCCAAATTTCTTTGAGGCTTTAAGATAACCAGTAAATCAAGGGGAAACAGAGCATTTTACTTAAAGTAACCATCCCTAGCCAGTGTCACAATTGCTTCCTTGCAGTCACTAATTAATACTCCTTGTGCAGAAATGTTTTTTAATTTATTCAGCATGGTGACATTTGTCAAGGCTAATTAAGACACCTTAGGATTTATGGACTGAATTGATGAAGAATTACTTTCCTTCTAGATAGTTCATTGTATATGAACCAATTTGGTCTTGGTTGTAACCTGTTGGCTCCCAGGAAACATTCTGGTTTTTTGTATTCTGGACCAGGAGCAGTTAAAACAAGCCAATGATGAAATGGACAGTGGGAGTAGCTAGGAATTGAAACAGGCACTTGAAAGCAAAGATGATAACTTTCTTGGCATTTGCAAAGCAAACAAAATCCCCAACTAAAACCAAGCAAAAAAAAAATCCAAAAAACCACCAAACCAGAAACCAAACCAATTTTTTCATGATCAAGAATACATGGGCTCAGAATTGAAGCCTTGTGGGGCTATTTGCCCACTAGGCCTTGGTCTGAGAAAGCATTTCAGAAAGTAACTTATCGTGCCTGTATTTTAACAGTGACCTTTCTCCTTTCCTAGGTGTTAAAATAATCACTCAACAGGTGCAGCCCAGTAAAATCCTTCCCAAACCAGTTACAGCGACCTTGCCCAGCAGTAGCAATTCACCTATTATGGTGGTTAGCAGTAATGGGACTATCATGACAACTAAACTGGTCACTACTCCCACTGGTAAGTTATGGCTCTGAGAAGGGAAGGGAGGGTAAACCCAGACATGCAGGTGATCAAACATGGTTTTTTAGGGTTAAAGAAAAAATAAAAGCAGTGATCTGAGCAGTGGGCATAAAGGCACATTGACAATCCTGTTACTTATTCTAGGTCAGGATTTTTGCACTGAATGCTCTTTAATTCTTCTGTTTGAATTGGTACACAAAAATATTGTTCCTTTCCCAGTGGGTTTATTTTAAAGGAATTTTTCTTGCAACTTATATAGCTACTTTGCACTTCTGTAGCACCTTATATTACATGATTTATACTGATTTAACTCAAGCAGACAGGTCAGCACCATTCCTATTTTATATATATGGACTTCAAAAGGCAGGTGACTTGCTCATAGTCCTGCAGTGAATTTATAAAAAGACCAGTAAATTGAAATTTAAGGTGCAAATATTCTTCTGCGCATCTAATTGTATTTGGGTTTCTAATTGATAACAGTTCAGACTGTTCAGATTGTAAACTTGTATGAGGAAAACTTAAAAGGTAGCTTTATACTGGTTTTCAGAAAACTATTTCTTTCCTGATTTTTTTTTTTAGCATGGGTTTGGAATACTAGAACTATAGAATTGTTAAGGTTGGAAAAGTCCTCTAAATCACAAAGTCTGACCGCTAACCCAGCACCACCATATTCACTACTGAACCTTGTCCCAAGTGCCACATCTACATGACTTTTTCATGCTTCCAGGGGTGGTGATTCCACCACTTTCCTGGGCAGCTTGTTCCAATGCCTTGACCACTCTTCCTATGTGCAATTTTTTCATAATATCATACCTGAACCTCTCCTGGCACAACTTGAGGCCRTCTTCTCTTGTCCAAAGCATAAACTAATGGTTAATAATCTATTTATAACTCTTAAAATATTTCATAGGTACATTCTTGAGTACATTAAAAAAAAACAGTTTTGCAGTTCATATAGTTGGTCTAATCTTCATTGTGCTCTCTTGGATGTCAACACGGCTTTCTTGATAAAATTAAACTGCTTTGCTCTGTGATCTTTAGCAATTAAGGGCACTATCTGCAGCAGCACAAGCAGAATGGAATTTTGCTATTTATGTAGCTTCTGTATGACTTCTTATTTTTGAGCAAGTTTCTTTTATGGATTCAGTTCTCTTTCCATCCAGAAAAGTACTAGTTCTGAAAAAACAGTATTTATACTGTGTTTAGAGGTTTCTTCTGTGCTGTTATATGCTAAGTCCATAAAATTGCATCATCACTGTAAATGATATTTTTCTCTGAGGGCATTACTTAGACCAGGCATTGGTGGTGCTCTTTATAAACAATCTATCGTAAAGGAGAAGTGTCTTCCATGAGGGTAAGGGATGAGCTCTGGTTATGTTATCATATGCCTGACTCCTGGGCATCTGAMGGGAGCAAGAGGCAGACCTGCAGGCAGAAGCTAAACATCTGTTGAAAATTACAATCTTATGAACAAGGACATGAATTAAAATGAGGGAGTCATGGAACATTTGTTAAAATACTCAGAAGACTGTTATATTAATTTAAAGTTAGTATATACTTGGCTATTGCTCTGTGGATTTAAAAATTGCCAGAAGAATTACATAGGGTAGTAATAGATTGCAGGGTGGRATATCTTTGAATGCATCTGACACTTTTTTTCCAAATATGTTTTTCCACAAATATTAGTAGAGGATCATGTTGTAACAGTGAACTTTCTTTTTCTCTCTTTAAAACAGGAACTCAAGCAACATATACACGGCCAACAGTGAGCCCCTCTCTGGGGGCTCGGATGGCTGGAACTCCAGGGGCTGCTACGTATGTGAAAACTACAAGTGGTAGCATCATTACTGTAGTACCAAAATCACTAGCTACTCTAGGAGGGAAGATCATCAGCAGTAATATTGTTTCTGGTAGGCATATGAGTACTTTGATGTTAAAACTTTTATTTCAAAAGTAACTTCGGGCTTACTTTAATTGTTCAGGGCTTTTCTGTGGGTTACATGGTCAAATAGTTATTAGGACCTTTATTGGAGAATTCAGAAGAAAAACAGTGGAGTATGAAGAAGTAGGTAGTASGAAGAAGTTTGATGGTGAGATGTTCTTAAGTATTGTGGTAGTTCTTGTGTTTAAGAAGAAAACAGCAAATGTGAAGGAAGCCTGGGAGGAAAGAGAAATGTGCAGTGGAGGCTAGTATGTTATACAGAGGGCAGGAAGATCAGAAAACACTATTGGCCCCAATTTAAAACATTTTATAATCTCAGTGCTGCCATGTTCTGTTCCACTGCATGTCCAAAGAACCAGAATAAAAATGAACTGTATATGTTAAATTCAGCTGTGCARTTTCCACCTTATTTTGTTACTTGGCAGTGACAGCTTGTCTTTCCTTCAGCCTGTGTTCTACCTTATGCTTTCCCTCCCSGCTTCATGCAGACCCTGCAATTTATCTTTGTTAGTCTGCTGGCYAGTCTGGTTCTCCTTTCTGGTTATGTGCTKRCACAGGTTGCTTAGAGAAGCTGTGGCTGCCCCATCCCTGGAAGTGTTCAAGGCCAGKCTGGACAGGGCTTGGAACAATCTGGTCTAATRGAAGGTGTCCCTGCCCAGGACAAGGTGTGGAAGTGGTTGAGCTCCAAGGTCCCTTCCAGCCCACAATATTCAGTGGTTCTATTGTCTCTAAAGGAAGAGTCTCTTTAGAGCCAGGACCAAGCAAACTTAATACCAGTTAAAAATTGTTAGTGTATGTTTGGGACTTCAACTTCATTTARCAAAGACCTGATGTGGCACCAGCCAGCTCCAGTCACTTGCAAGGTGCTACACAAGCTATCCAGTAAACCCACTCTTGGGCTGTTAYCTGGTAGAGCAGTTTCTCAGGTTTTGATTTCTACAAAATTATATTTAGTGATGATACCACATTTTCTTTGGGAGCAGGTAACTTTTTTTAGCCTGTTGTGGGTATGATGAATTGTTACGAAAATTTCTAGGTCTTCTAATGAATTATACACAAGTGGAAGTGTTCTCCTGAGCAGCAGCTATTCTGGAGAAACCTGTGAGTGATCCCGATGAGGATAATGATTGTCCTGAAAAAAAAGTTTGGAAAGCATGCCTGCTTTTTTCTTTTTGTTTGTCTAATTGTTTTTTAGATACCACTGAAGTCAGCAGGATTAAATAAATAATGATCTTATTTTAACATGTCTTCCTTTTCCCAGAACTAGCAGAATATACAATTCGTTGTGAAGTATCCACAGGCATGACTATTGGTTAAAAGATAGCAAAGGGAGTCTTAGGGTTTGCAACTCTGCTGTGACTGAATGGTGCTTCCCTCTGGAGGAAGGAGAGGAGCTGTTGGTAAATAGCTGTCTGAGTAGCTATTGCAATGGCAGTCTGATAGTACTGATGACTGATTCCAGTGTATGTACTTCTTGTAGACTGTGACCAGAATTAYCTATCACTGTAGGTAACTAAAAACCTGATACAGGGAGTAGAACCAATTAAATGCTAACATAGAGCAGAAACTGCCAAGGCAGCTCTTAAAAAAAAAGTAAAAAGCCCCACATTTCTTACCTTTTATGGACTGGTTTTAAAACAATAGCATGTTTTTTCTTTTTTCCTTCTTTTTACCCACTACTTATCAAATTACAACAGAAAGAGTTGGTGTTTCTCTTGACTGGAGATACATCCTTGGTACGTAGATTCTTCTGCAGGTCATCTGTAGAACAGTATTTGTCTGTGCAAATAGAACATTAAGTTGAGTATTAGTGGTGTCCTTATCCCACCCTGATTCCAGCCTTTGAAAAGTTCTACATGTTTRCCTCAGGAAGCTGTGTTAGTCTGCTCTGTAACTTGTGAGAAGGGGTTGTCTGTCCTATTATAGAATGCATTATTTCCCCTGGGCACACCTGTTTTTACTGTAGGTGAAAGATTTGTAGAGTTGGCATCTAATCTTTCCATGTTGAGTTGGGTGACATGATTTCTAGATGCTGCTGGTTTCTTGATATTCTGTCACATTTAAGTACAATGTTTCCTCTATAGCTCACCAACTCCTACAGTGAAAGGAAATATACAATATGTGATAAACTGCACATTATTTCTTTTCACACAAAAATTTAGGAACTACAACCAAAATCACTACAATTCCAATGACATCGAAACCCAATGTGATTGTTGTGCAAAAGACCACTGGAAAAGGAACTACAATTCAAGGGCTTCCAGGCAAAAATGTTGTCACAACACTGTTGAATGCTGGGGTAAGTAATTATTTCAAGTCTCAAATGGAGAGCCAAGTGACAGGCTGTGTGGTGGCTGCTGCATTCATTCTGCTAAAGGCTCAATCAAAAGCAAACTGCATGAGCTCCTTAACAGATCCAGCATGCCTTGATGTCAGAGGTGTTTGAAAAGTGACTGTGGTTTGCAGAATATGATTCCATGCTTAAAGGATACTGGGTATGTCTTCAAAGTTAAAGGAAAGTATAAACTTTTGAACTTACTTCTTTTCCATGTTTAGTGATTTTGTATTCCTGAAACAATTATGTAGAGGAAAATTACTGGAATCTTAGCCTGTTTGTTCCAGTGAGAACCAAGGTCCTGTGTTGCAAACTTGCATCTCCAACCATTTATTTTTTGGTATAAAGGGCAGGAATAAACTGTCTTCACAGTAGGGGAACCACTTTCAATTTATGTTTTGTGTAACATTGTGACATCCTGTGCCTGAATACTTTATAGTGGTGAATTATTTTTTTGATAACCTGAGGTACACCTAAGAATAAAATCAAGTTTCCAGCATCATCTGAGCTTACCTGTAAGTACTATTAAATAAAAATTATCAGTGTTCCTAGATAAAACTCTTGAGATTTAATGCCTTAGTCATGTAAAATCTAAAAGGCTGCTTGAGTAGCAGAACTACTGAGGGTTTTTTTAAACCTTTTACAATTTTTGTTTTAGGTTTTGAACTTTCCTGCTTTTCAGAATTAAAGGTGTATTTGCAGACAAGTGGAAATCTTACGAAGTTACACCGTAGTAGCTACCAGGATGGGCTGGTATTTTTGAAACAAATATGGCTTGGGGTTTCCAGCTACTTTCTGGAATTCCCATTATCCAATGAATATTGGTAGGGATATTGGGAGAACTGGCTACTGATGTTGTTACTCACTTGGTATGTTACTGTGCAGAGCTTGAAGAAAGCATGCTCAATGTCTTTGCTCTTCTGAAGCTATCAGCAATCTACTCATATGTCAACATTATTCCATAGTCAAATGATTCCTGTAAAATAGCTGTGGATCTTCATTTTTTGATGAAGTGAACTTCTGTTCAAAAAAAAATATGTAAAAAAAAAATCCATATGTAATTAATGTCTTGGTCCTGAAGACAATATAAAAATTTCTATTTAARCATTTTCTTATTAGAATCTCAGTTCAAGTTTTGTAGATGTCTTGSCAAAGTTAGTGTTAGTAGAAATTGATGGTCTTAAAAAATATTTGTGAAGTATTTGAAGAAGGTTCCAGTTTACGTTAACTCTTTGAAGCAACTTCAAAAAACTTCATGTCTCCTAGTTACTCCTTTTTGTTCATACCTTCAGAACTGCTCAAAAGGTAGAGTAATGGAAAAGTGGATTTTGATAGCTTTTTCTGTTCAAAGCCATAGGTTCTTTTGTTCTTGGCCTTTTAATGTATTTTGGATCAAATAAGTGTAGTTGCAGCAACAGATTTATTTCTTGGTACACACACACTCATAAACAACCGTATTTTTTTTGAGAGTTGGGTCTCACTGAACAATTTCATTAAGTTAACCTGTAAACTTTGACTTCTCTACAGGGGGAGAAAACTATTCAGGCAGTGCCAGCAGGAGCAAAACCTGCTATCATCACTGCTACAAGACCCATCACAAAAATGATTGTTACACAGCCAAAAGGAATAGGGTCTACGGTCCAGCCAGCCACCAAAATCATCCCAACTAAAATTGTTTATGGTCAGCAAGGGAAAACTCAGGTACAGTGAGGACCCATTTCTGTCTTGGAATGTATCCCTAAATTTTAATCRGAAGTAAATAGTTTTTACTGTGTTTCCTTGTTTGTTGCAGGTTAAATATATGTCTKTGGGGAATGAGACTTAGTGGTATAATGAGATGGCCTCGATCCTGATTGCTCAAGCACAGTATTTGCATTTGTTAGCTTTTTTGGAGGCCCAGAGCAAGCCAAAAGGATTAACTAAGTCTTTTCTCAAACTGTCTGGCCATGGCTCCAGATTCTTGTTTAYATCCTGCAGCTAATGGTTAGACCATGAGAAATAAAGATGCAGAAATTGGACATGGGTCATCCATCAAATCTGAGGTTTTACTGAAATTTATTTGCTGCTTGATATCTCTTCAGGCTGTCCCTGCAACCTTCTGTGGTTGGTGGAGCTGTATACAGAGAATCTGGCTTRTTTCTGGATGCTTTCTATTTCAGCTTTTTCTCTGGCTGCACTTAGTATTTGAAAGAACTAAACTTTTACCAGATATAACACGTTTTGTGTCTTGATTGTTCAAGACTGTATTTATTGTGGAAATGTTTGTCCTTACCAGTGCAGTGCATGTTCCAGCTCACTTGCATAGCTTTCTCTTMTCACACTGGTTTTATCTACTCGTGGAAAATGACTGCTTAGTGGTTTATTGTGTGAGGTATTTCAGGTTACTGTGTGAGAAGTACATTCTTGTGCGTTGCCATTTACTTGGGCTTTGTGGTTTAATAATCATGGCTGCTGAATTTAGAGGTAGACTTTTTAAGTAAAATACGAATATTATCTAGGTAGTGTACATAGATCTGAGTGGCACCTATTCTGATTGCTCAGATCTGTTTTCTGGAGTGATTTTACTATAAACAAAATTTACCTTTCTAATTAGGTCCTCATAAAACCAAAGCCAGTGACATTTCAAGCAACAGTTGTGAGTGAACAAACCAGACAGCTGGTGACTGAAACGTTACAGCAGGCATCAAGGGTAGCAGAGACAGGAAACTCATCTCTCCCAGAAGTGAAAGAGGAACCACAAACCTACACTGACAGCAGCTCTTCTTCTACAGAGTCTTCCCAGAGCTCTCAAGGTCTGTATTGGTGTCACATAATGTATGACTGGAGTGTCTTCCAGGCATGCCAGTGGGCTCCAGAGAGCTCCCTGTGTCTCCTTTTAGCATAGGTTTCACCCCATCTGTTTGCAGTGAAGTGTCATTTTTCCCTTAAAGTTTATCTTCCTCTTGAGCTACTTAAAAATGCTTTATTTCTCCTAAAAAGTGGTCATAAAGATGTCTTGCTGGGCCCCAACTTGCTGTTACATTGCAACTTGTTTCCTCTTTCTGGAGAGCCTGCCAGARGTAGGCAGCGTAACAAGTTTTGGAGGTTATTTGGCAGTCCATGTTCTGCCACTGTCTTTCCTGAGAGTATCAAAGCATCTCTCCTCTGCATAGCTGAAAGCTGCCATGGGACCAACACAAATCTTWTATAGACATTTATGTGCATCAGGTCGTATATCAGACATGCATGGGAATTCTGTCTTGACTTCAAGCCGTGATCCAGATGCAGTTCTTTGTGTGGAAAAGGAGCATAAATAATAAGGCATAAACARCACCCATCCTTTGGCTGTGAATGACAAAGGGATGTATCACTGCAGCAAATGAAAGCAAATGTTTCAGTGAATCCTTTGCGCCTTTTCTGGGTAATTTTCTAACTCTTGGTCTATACTGCCATTTAAGTAAATTTTTAAAAGGTTCTGAACATTCAATCAGCTTATCAGAATTTAGGTACTGTTAGTTCAGGATGCTGAATACATGCTGATCACCTGAACTGCTAAAACCTTCTGGAAAAGAAAGTCCAAGGCAAATTCAGCATACARAGGAACCTACTGAAGTTTGATTTTTCAAGCAAATCTTTTACAAAAAACTAAGATACAGGACTTTTGTTTTTTACTGGAAACTGTTCTTAACATCAACAAATGTTTCACTTCAAGAATCAATTGTAATAAAAACTAAAATTTTGTAGAATGAGAGTATGCATCCTTGGCAATGTTCAAAACTAACAAGTAATTTGGTATAATTTTGAACTATCACCCTGCTTTAAAGCACGAAGAGCCCTCCAATCCAAAATGGTTCTATGATGAATTTGATCTGCTACAGGTTGTCCAGAGAAGCTGTGGCTGCCCTATCCCTAGAAGTGTCCTAGGCCWGGTTAGAGGGGGCTTGGAGCAACCTGGTGTAGTGGAAGGTGTCCCTGCCCATGGCARAGGGGTGRAGCAAGATTAGYTTTAAGGTCCTTTCCAGCCCAAACCGTTCCATGATTCTGTKATGTGCCTTTGTTATTTTGCAAACAGATTCTCAGCCTGTGGTCCATGTGATTGCTTCAAGAAGTCARGATTGGACAGAACATGAAATTGCTGTAGACACAAGCCCTACAATAATTTACCAGGATGTGTCCAGTGAATCTCAGTCAGCTACTTCCACAATAAAAGCTTTGCTGGAACTTCAGCAGACTACAGGTCTGAAAACCCATTAAATTATTTAGGATAACTTTAAAGGTTGTTTTTTGCTTRAGCAGCCCTTTGTAATAAGTTTTGTAATGAAAAAGTACCTATCTTGAATCAACTTTATTCCTTTCCTCTTATCCTGTATCAGTTTGTTTACATCTATTCTATGGTGTTCACTATATGAAATTAAACTGGTGCATTTTTGTAGGTTTATTTTATTATGAAGGTTTATGTAKTAGAGGGTTGATTTTATGTTCTTCTTTTCTTCTAAAGCAGTGAAGGAAAAGTTGGAATCAAAGCCAAGGCAGCCTACCATTGACTTGAGCCAAATGGCTGTCCCAATCCAGATGACWCAAGAAAAGAGACATTCTCCAGAAAGCCCTTCAATTGCTGTTGTAGAGTCAGAACTAGTGGCTGAATATATCACAACTGGTAAGTGGCTATGGTAGTGTGAGGGTGGCTTTGCAGGTGAAGTCTGAGCACTTCATTTTGGAGTTTTCTTACTCTAAGTTTCACTTTTGTGTTTATGCTGTAATTTTCTGTAGAGGAAATGAGTCTTCCTCCACTCCTGAGAGCCTGTGCAAGGGACAGGGATTGCATCTGTTTTGCTGGGGCATAGGGAAAAATATTTCTAACTGAAACAAAGGGTGGTTCCTTCAGAAAATCCCACGTGAATAGATTTCCTGTTCTCTGAATGTAGAAGACAGACTGTCCCACCATTCTGTTCCCTTGTCTTAAAGGAAAATGTCCAGTAAGGAAAAAGTAAAAAATTAAGCTGCAGGAACTGTAGCCTAGTTTTTGTGCGCTCTGAAAGGAGTCAGATACTGAATTCGTTAAAATCCATTTATTCYTGAGTTAAAGCCAGGTATCCATTTAGCATGCTAATGTAGCCCCAGTTTCTTCATTTGCTACAAAGCTTTGAACTAATAAATTTGCACTTTTAAAATAAATAAGTTCCTCAAATTCAACTCATTAAACTCTTGACAAATATTTGGACGTCTCTTTTGAGTAAGTCCTTTCTCTTGTCTCTCCCGTGTTCCCTACAACCCCAGGACACTAGGTGTGAGCCACTTCCTATATATACATGAGAGGATCAGATTACCTGTTTTCCATTTTAATTTCTTAAACCTCTATTGTTGGTCTCCCTACATGATTTGGAAAATGAAAGCAAAAGTGTGTTGAAAGTCCACACTAGAAAACAGAAATAAAACTTAATTACAATTAAACTGTATAAGTCCATATCTGTAGCTCCAGTGTTTTTAGTGCTAAATGTCTAATCTGATAATTTTTTCTGTACCTCCTTCCCTTGCTCCCATCCCTTGAATGGCYTAAATTTAAGTTGTGTGAAATGGAGGTGGGGAGATGTTGTTATTATTATTCTTTTAAATAGYACTTACTGTATYTGATTTAAGTTTTGAATGTTTTAGTCATACTCCCTTGCATCTCTTTTAAAACAAAGTCCAGAGTATCACCAGTAGAGTTAAATTGCTTTCCAGTTAGCAGTTAGTTATCTTCACTGTTAAAGATACTGTGCATTGAGTTTCTTTTTAAGGTTCCAGTTTTTGATGGGTTTTGCTGTGAAAGTTGATGTACGATAGGGCCTTTTGCAGGGAGGATGGGAAATTAGTCAGCATCTTTGTAGACTTCACTACTTTTCTACAGCTTAGAAGCCATATAAAGTACAAAGGCTAAAAATTTCCTGGAGATAAGGAGATACTATTTTAAATATTAGGATTTCTGTAAACATTGGTTTGAAATGCAGGAATCTACCAGAGAAGTACAGGCTCCTGTGGGTTGGCAGCAACAGGTTCTGCTGCAGCACTAAACTGGTTATTTTGYTCAGATTTTGGTTCCTTCTCCCAGTTTCTCTGAACATTACTTGGATTCTCTGACAATTGAGTGTTTCTTTTTGGTTTAATTTGTGTTTCTCTGATTTTACCAGTAACCCACATATCTGTATTTTCTGCTAAAAATTCAGTAGAAAGATAGTGAGGAATCTGTAGTGTATTGTGAAATGTCCTGCATGGGCCTAGACAGAAGATTTAGGCATTTGGGAGCTGGGAATCAGCATGTGCTTCCTCATGAAATGAAGGGAGCAGTTCACACAATCTTAGTGTCACCATTTTTTGTCTGTCTGCAGACTCAGGAAGACAACATTGTATTGGTTCACATTCGGAAGAGTATCTACACAACCATATAGGTTAGAAACTTTATTTTTAAATTAAAATTTTAATTGTGTAGCAATTGTTGGGAGATATCCAGGATAAATCTGGCACAGCATGCAGGCCAGTATTGATATAAACCAACTTTCTTGGAGTGAGAAAGTAAAATTACCATATTAATTCAAAATTTGACCTTTCTTTTAACATTCGGGAAGGTCACTAGAAACTTTCTAATTTTAAGTTAAGTTACAACTGAGTTTAAACTTTGCTTGTTCTCCTTCAGTTATTAAATACTTTGTAACGAAGAAATTAAGTAAGACAAATGTTTGCATATTAGTAYGGACAGGTATAAAGTAATTTGGATTCATATCTTATCAGTGACTGCAATATAGAATGGTTTGTTTGGGTGTTTTTTTCTCAGCAGCACATTATTTTTGTATCAACCCACTGTTTTATTAGAGGCCTGTCACTGTAGCTCTGTAACTTGAGCTAGGTCTGTTCTCAAAAGTGACATAGACCCATAACAAGGTCTCMGTGTTTTGATCTGTCATTTCTGATCAGCCTCACTTGCTTTAATAGTACCCAAATATTTTCTCTGTGCTAATCTTTCATATTTGGCCTATGCTCTGGGGAGTATTTTGTATCAGCATTGTGTCAGTAGTAGAAAACTGGTGAGCAAGGCTTGCTGTTCTTAATTGCAGTCAGTTGTGGAGGTGCTTTTAACAGTGTAAAAAACACTGAATAATTTGTGTTGTACAGCAATATTCTGTTGCTGTATAAAGAGCCCAGCTAAACATCAAGTATAAACTCTGCTTGCAGATTTAGTGTATTGGGACAGGGTGGCCAGAGGAGGTTTGGACAAACSTGGTTACTTAGGAAACAGAAAAAAGCAAAACCCTGGAGTTGCTCCATTAAGAGGTTTCTCAGAATAGATCTATCCATTAATAAGGTTGAGGCAAGCACACAGTGAAAGACATTYTTCATATGGAGATCTTTTTCACTCCTGTATGCTTTCAGTTGAAGCTTAACTGCAAAGCAAACAGTWGAAGTTCCTGCAGTTAGTTCTGGAGAAGTGCCACTGACCTCTTTACTTTCAGTCAGTCATCGGTCCCAGCCCCACCAGTCATCTCAGCCCCAGAGGACTCTGCTGCAGCACGTGGCTCAGTCGCAGACAGCAACGCAGACTTCTGTTGTGGTGAAATCTATCCCTGCATCCTCCACAGGCGCTATTACCCATATCATGCAGCAGGTTGGACCCTTTCTTTTCCCAGCAGTCTGTAAACAGMAGTAGGTTATATGAATTACATAGGACCAGGGTTTGTTATGAATGTATRTATCTTGGTGCTGTCACCAAAAGGATTTAGCATACAGGCAAATTAATGATTTTAATATTGCTTCAATGGCCTTARACTGAAGGAGAGGAGATACTGATTAAATATTGGGAAGAATTTCTTTACTGTAGRGTAGTGAGGCACTRGCAMAAGTTGCCTAGGAAGTTGTGGATGCTGYATCCCTGGAAGTGWCCAAGGCCAGGTTGGATGGGGTTTAGGGCAACCTGGTCTAGTGGAAGGTGTTGCTGCCCTTGGCAGGGGTATTGGACTAGAGGGTCTTTTAAGGTCTTTTCYAACCCAAACCACTCTGTGATTGTATTTTGATAATGAGGGTAGTTGTAGTATTGCAGGGGCCTGAGCTCTTTTAGGTGATGTTGGTGGTAGTGTAGGGGGAAGAGGGCTGAAATGTAATCTGGTCAGTAAAGAGTGCACACAGTGTCTTTCCAATTGAGGGCTTTAGTTTGTGGATAAGAAAACTTCTCTGAATCAGAAAGTCAGACCATATTTAGATCAGTGCTGTGGGGATCCCAGACAATTCAAACAAACCGTGTAGCTTGTGATGAAACCTTGCTGAAGCCATTTGGATGGTTTTRATCAAGACCTGCTCAACTCTGCAGTACTTTAACTCGTGAGAACTTCAGCTGCAGTCCAGAACAGTGGTGTATTAGGGTTGTAAGCCCACATCAGGCAGTGTGTTTTCACAGGTGTTAGATTAGTCTGCTTCATCTTGCTAAGCCCATTTTTCAGTACATTTACACCATGGTTTACGACGTGTAGGTTGCTCACTCCCTCAAAAAGTCAAATGTTTGTGTAATGTCCAAGAAAAATTGCAATATGATTTTGAGAAAGGAAGGAGAAAAAAGGATCTCTGCTGAAATAGGACAGCCTGTAGTTATATGGAACTTTGCAGAAGAAACCATAGAGAAGATTACTAGACTTAAGAAACAGAATAAACATTTATTGGGCAGAGAGAGTCTGGCTTTAATGAGAAGCTACTGTTTCAGCCACCTGCTACTCCCTGCTGCTTCATATCCAACTGCCAGACAACCACAGGGGGCTTTGAGCCTCAGTCTGACACAAACCAGGTCTATGTAATCCCACTGAGGGTTAGTTGTGGAGCTGATGTTCTCRCATAGAGATGTACTACAGTTTAATATGATAATAATAGCTCTTGATTGCTTATATATTGTGAAATATTCACATAGCTGTATCTTTTTATACATTAATTGGGAGTCTGTAGTGGTTAAACAAGTTTTAGTAGTCCATTTGAAACACTAAAAATTATTTGTAAATTGTGTATTCTTATATTTCTCTTTACTAACTTACTCTAAATTATTCTTCTTAAGGCCTTAAGCAGTCACACTGCATTTACCAAACACAGTGAACAACTTGGAACTGAGGAAGGAGAAGTGGAAGAGATGGACACCTTAGATCCTCAGACTGGCCTGTTTTACAGATCGGCCCTGACACAATCACAGACACAAAAGCAGCAAAAAATGAGTCAGCCACAGCTGGAACAGACTCAACTGCAAGTGAAAACTCTGCAGTGTTTCCAGACTAAGCAGAAGCAGACAATCCACCTRCAGGCTGATCAAATCCAGCACAAACTCCCACAAATGCCCCAGCTTTCCATAAGGCATCAAAAGCTAACCCCATTGCAGCAAGAGCAAGCACAGACYAAACCAGATGCACAGCAGCCCCCACACCACATGGTGGCCAAAGAAAGGCAACTCCCTACCTTAGTGGCACAGCCACAGCAAACTGTAGTACAGGTGCTTGCAGTAAAAACCACGCAGCAGCTGCCCAAACTGCAACAGGCACCAACGGCACAAAAAATCTACGTGCAACCCCAGCCCCCCCAGAGTCAAATGCAGCTACCTGCTTCTTCAGAGAAACAACCAGCAAGCCAGGTAACGGAATATTGATAGCATGCAAAATACACGTCGCTGTTCAAGGAAAAAAAAATAAAACACCGACCCTGTTGCTGTAGCAGTGTTTTGTCCTGGCAAGAGAGAATTTCTCATTCTGCTGGTAGTAATTACCCCATCAGAAGGTTGACACTAGGAGAGAAGCACATATTAGAGGGGAAAAACCATAGAGCTCACAAATGTGTTTTGTTGGACAGTTTTTATTAATTTCAGCCACCACTGGTATATGGAATTTGTCCCTAGTTATTTTCTTTAAATTTTTAGATGTGACACATTATTAATCTCCATTCAAAAAGCACTTTTTATTTCTATAAAAATAAGGATGAAWACATTGCAGTCTCATAAGGCTGTCCATTGTTCCTCTTTCTTTGTAGTTTGCATCTTCCTGAAGATACATGGCTTTCATGTTCAGGAGTAATGATTTTCCTTGGGAGGGAGAAAGGTAGAGACTGAGGAACATGGAAAAAAATTATTTTAACTAATTCCAGAAAAGAACAATATTTTTTTGGCCTTTGCAGAAATAGTGTGAAAACTAGAGGCGTTAGCAAACATCCCATGGGGCTGTAAATCCCAAAGGAAAATGAGGCGGCTGTGGTATTACACTGCTAAAATCCTTACCTAGCAGCCTGAAAAGCTGCTTTTCCCCAGGCTTCAATTAACTGTTGCCCTATTGTTGCTAATTCCTTTGTTAAAACACTTGAGTTTCAACTGTCTTCCTAATAGCAAGTATGTTGTTTGTGCCATTCTGTACTTGGAAATATTGATTAGGTTTTCAATTWAAAAAAATATTAACTGTAATATACACAACAAAAAAATTGTTTTCCAGTGCAACATCTAACTCCACTGTTACAGAGATAACTTTTGAGGGGTGTGAGCCTCCTTTTATTTCAAAGGTAGCAGGTGGCAGTTCTGTGCCCAAACTGGCATTGCTGGTTACCAGCCTATTTCCCATGCAGGCATCCACGGAGACAGCAGTAGCAGATATATTGAAAGTGTCTATGGTGGAAGCTCAGATTGATGCAAACATAGAACATACGATAGTGGATCCCCCAAACAAGGCCACGTCCACTAGTAAACCCGCTAGTGAAGCAGAGTCGTCACCTTGTACCCAGGGTCCGAGGGTGGCTGCAGTAGGGATGATGGCACCTTCCATCCTCCAGCAACAGACACGTACAGAATCCAGCTCAAGTCCTCCTGCTGTTGGTACTACTTTAACAGAGAGGAAACTCGATGCACAAGGAATGCCTACAACAAACCAGTTCATGCACATTCAGAATATATCACAAAAGAAAGCTGAAGAGAGCTCATCAGAAACTGTTGTCCAGGTAAGAGAAGACAGAGCAAATAAGGCAGAGTTTGAGCAGAGCGAACACATGTCTGTTGTTATGATAGCCACTGAATGATGTTTGAGTTTTTGTGGGTTTATTCCACGGGTTCTGTTTCTGTTTTTACTCTTAGCTTGTAATTGGTTGCTATATTGAAGTGTAATTCTTAACTGAGCTCAGGTTTCTCTAGCACTGTTTCATTCGCTCTGTTCTTAGTGTCTTCCTTCTGGTAAGAAAACAAGCAAGTTCATCTCATTTTACACAGTAAATTTGAAATGCTTAAAACTGCTTCAACACTTAGTATGGTGTTATGTTCTAGAATCTTTTATATTATCTATTRAAGTTGTCTCTGGGTATAAAATTATTGCAAAAAATGACCTATTAGGGTTGTGCTTACTGGAAAAATTCAGCAAATAAGGTCTGAAATCAGAAGAAATCTTTTTAACTTCACTTCAAATCAGACTTAACACTTCTGAGATGAAATTACTATTTATCTTTAGCCTAAATCCTTTGAATCATTTCCTGATGCATGATATTTTCATGGATTCTGCTGCCTTAAATATGATGGTTTATGTTGTAATAAGTTGTCRGAATGTCAACTGAGGAGGTGTTTAAGTCTTCCAAGGGGTATAATATGAATCTTCATAGACAGGTTGGTATGGCATATGTTTACACAAATGATAGTGTCGATTGAAATTCTTACTACATATCATATTGGTGCTACAGTGAAAATGCTTCTCATGCGAGGAAACAATTTGTGTACAGAGGTTTCAAATTTCTCATACTACTTTGTGAAGTCTTTACTGGGACTAACTTTCTTTTTTGTAGAAATTACCACTTTTGTACTCATTTTTAGTCGTCCTTAAATAGACAAAGGTAGATTTCTGTTTTACTTAAAACCTGTATATTTTGAGAATCTGTACTGTTTATCATTGTGGCATGGCACAAGCTTCAAAAGTCAAATGCTGCCCAGAATTTCAGTTGTATAAAGCCATAGATTTAGCTTCTAACCTATGAAAATATAAGCAAAAGTAAATAACTTAGTATAAATAATAATAATAATCATCATCATTTTAGAAATAAATAGCTGTTGTGTTTCCTCAGCCTCTGAGCTGCAGCACTGAGCAGGGCCAGAGCTTGTAGTCTCTTGTATGCAAAAAGCTAGCTAGTCCTCCAGAGTGCTTGGACAACACTCTCAGACAGCTGGGGGGAGTATTGGGGTTGTCCTGTGCATGGCCAGGAGTTGGACTGGATGGTCATTGTGAGTCATTCTACTCAGGTTGTTCTTATATCTGCATGTCTTGCCTGAAAAAGATAAGGCTGAGAAAATACTGTCTCTGGTTTGGGTTTGCAGACTGGTGGATCATGGGCATTGGTTATGCTGTCACAGACCTTTAGGGAAGATCAATGGCCAAGATCACTGGCTGGAGAGTTTATTCAAGTTTTATTCAAGTTTTTATTCAAGATTATTCAAATTTTACCTTTCACAGCCTAATCCAGTGCAASGGTGCTTTGAAGCCTTATTAGGGAAAATTGCACTTGGAAACCAAATAATCCCTTTTCTACAAGTACCTGTGCTTGCACTGATGCCTTCACCTTCAAAACTGTTTTTTAAACCTAAMTATTTTCTTTCTTTCAGACTATCCCTCACTATTCCATCCCTTGTCACTCCAGCTCCAATGTGGTAGTGGAACCCAGTGGGCTCCTGGAGCTCAACAACTTCACCAGTCAGTGCCTCGATGATGAGGAGACAGCAATGGAGCAAGATGTGGACAGTAGCACTGAGGATGGCACTGAGCCCAGCCCCTCTCAAAGTTCTGCTGAACAATCCTAAGGAAGTGGGACACTGGAGTGCGCTTTAAAAKATCTTGGGATTTTGAGTATCCAAGATGCCCTTCTCTTGTGATGTTTTAGAGCACTTTGCCTATTAGATACATTCATTGGACTCTTGAAGCATCAGTGTGTTTTAACAAAACCGTATTGAAAGAGCTGCATCTTAAAAATTGTTTCCAAAAAAAAAGGAAAATATGTAGTTACTGAGATTTAGTAAACCTGTGACAGTGGAATGTACTCCTGTTAAAAAACRAAGCTGCCATAATTCTAAAGCTTGTGCTATTGAAGTCCTTGCCCAGATACTGAAGCAGCTGTTAGTGAAAAGGGATTATTGTTTTGCTGTCTTTTTAGTTGTTGAGCAAAACACCATCCAAAAAAAAAAAGTTTAATAAATACTTGTATTTTTAAATAGCATGTGAGAGAAAAAATGTCTCTGACAGTGCTGGAAAAGCCCCAGGAATTTTGAGTATCCAAGTACTCAAAGTAGTACTACTATCCAAGTAGCTTTCTTGCACTCATGCTCACTTAATTTTTTTCATAAGCCTAAAAGTTTTTTTTTTCATTCTTTTTTGTGAATGTTTGAAAATAAGCAAAATTGGTAACTGGTAGCAAAGTGGATTTGCTAGTGAATTTTTGTGTTCATGCTTTACAAGAAGTAGGGTAAAAGTAGGGTAATGGTAGATGAGGCATTTCTTTGTGCCATAAGCACACAAAATGCTTGTCTACTCTAGTTAACCTTTGATTATTTATTTAAAWATAAAATTTAAAGTGAGACAAGTTGTTGGAAGAGTTCCTGTGAAACAGGCAGTTGTATTAGTTTTAGTACAAACCAGGGAGAAGAAGGTGTCTTTTGCTATTAATCAGTTTTTCAAAACTGGGGATAAGGGGTTCAACATCTTTCCAAGTTGAACTTAAGAATTTAGAAGTGAGCTAAGGCTTTTCAAAATCTGCATTTTACTCTTACGTGCTGTTTTTAAAGTTGACTATTTGGGGAGTTCAAAACCTTAAATGGGTATACAGTGGTAGGTTTCCAAAATAAGCCTTATGCCTTGGCTTGTTGAAGCAATACTTTGGGGTTTTGTGATAGTTACAAGTCACAGAAAGAGGCTTGGGTTCAGATGGGACAAGTGAACCAGTTTTAATACATTCTGGTAATCAAGACAATACTTTTTTTTTTTCCAAAATGTATATAAAACCATGTTTTTAACTGTTTTGTATAGATTTCATTATAAATAACTAAGCATTTTATGACTTTGACATATCATTTAATTGTATATACATGTATAAGCCTAACTGCCCACATTTTGGTGCTGAAGTACTACTGTAAGTAGATTTCATCCAAAGTCTAATACAGCTTTTTGCGTCAGTYTTTTTTTTAAGCTGTCATTTTACTGTTGATATTGTAGTTAAGGTTAAATTCCAGCTGGAGTAACTCAAACTAAAAACCACAAACCAAAAAAACCCACTTATCTGTCTGGAGTATCCACCTATGTTAGAATGTGCAGTAACCCCTAGATGGGGCTCTTGGTTTTCCTCTAATCTCAGTTATCTTATAAATGAAGTCATTAGGACCGTCATGTATTTTTTTTTCCTTCTGTTTTCTTTTTCTATCAGTGTTAGTTCCAAAATAATGTAGTTTATAATTGTGGAGAAGTGTCCTGATAGATTCAACGTGCAAATACTGGAATAGTGACTTATGAAACTAACAATTTTTGTGCTACCTTCATATTGAAATAAGTATTGGTTTCGGTTCTGCTGTCCATAGTGCTCAGGATTGAAGGAATAATATGTATTGAATGAAATATTCCACATTTCTTTAGTTCAATAATAACTCCGTCAGTAGGCCATTGTAGGTAGTTCAGGTTTTAATTACTCTTCAGGAGTTTTTGTTCTTGCTTTAAAGAAATCACAGCAATCAACAAGAGTAACAAGGTATGATCTAAGTTGTSAAAGTTCCACATTGCTTCAGAATGACAAAAAGTGGCTCAATACCATTACTGGCATTGGGCAGTCTCTTATGCKTTGCATAAATCTGTGTAAGGAATGGTCTGCATTATGATACCCATTGGTGAAAAGCCCAGAGCAGGTGAGACACACAGTTCTGGCTTGTATAAAATTTTCATTGTCACCTGCAGTGCTTTGCGTGTCCCTCCTCTCTAGGATTGGAGGGTCATGAAAATATAAGAGAGAGTAAGATTTTTCTTAAGCACTCAGGACCAAAAACATTGTCCTAAGTTACAGTTTCAKTTTTAGGTGAAAGTGTATGCCTCCTCAGCCAAAAACAGATACCAGAAATTGCCTACAGTGAATTCAACACCAAAGCATTCACTATATTATTGAGTTGCAGTCCAGTTTATTCAGATGTTTTATGTAAGGCTGTTGTTTGCCYCTTTAGTGATGGCTGGAGCAAAGATATGGACAACTACAGTGAACTATCTGACAGTTCTTTAAAGACAGCAAATTGTTAAACACCTGAAACCTTTTCAGGTTTCTATGAGAAGTGATTGATTTCAGGTTGGTAAGTTGGGGATGTCTAGGGGTGATGTAAGAAACTTAGAAGAAKGAACTTTGGCAGTGTATTCATTCTYGAGACTCTTCTCTTACTGCTTTCCCAAAYTTCAGCTTGTTTTCCTTCACCATATGAATACCTTTACAAATAACAGCTACCCAAGGTGAGCTAAAATACGGGTAGATATGGTAATTTTCTTTTTACTTGCTTTTTGATAATGGTAGTAAGATGAGGTGCTTGGAGGATTTGGCCTTCTCCCCTTTCCATGAACTCCAGGCCCCACTGCCTGGCAGATGTGCAGCTTTTTCCTGCTTGTCGTTGGAATACTTCATCCTCCTGCAGTCGTGTATCCGCTTCTCACAGCCCTAYAAACATCAGTGAACTGCTAAAAATAAAACATCAGTATGTCAGATAAGATTTGCATATCTTATCTCCCTACTAAGCTGTATCTTCATTCCTGAAATTAATTTGATGTCCCTCCTTGGAACAGAAGAAAGGGTAGGTATGGTGGTGGTAATTTTTGGCACCAGGAATTAGCAGGCAATAGGCTGGTATGTTATCAGAAAGCTGTATATTGTAAAGCARGTGAAGTGGCATTAACAAGTCTCTGAATTCAGCAGTTTAACAAACATGCTCTGGCACTGCAGTAACACATGAATCTTCAAAAAAGGATGCTAAGATAGTGAACTGAAGTTAGAGGAGGTACTTAAACTAGGGGGAATTTGTGTGCTTTAAAGATGCCGGGAATCATAAAGGCTTGTATGTTTTCTGGAAAGGTTAAAACATTGGGGTGAAGGTATTTTCAGTCTCAGTCTTTCTTCCATTGGTAAAATAAGTTTTTGAAATTTCAGGGCAAAATAGAAAAGGGGCCCTTAAGGCCCTTTGACCAGAACACATGACTAAATCAATGGGATTAAAAAAAAAAAAAAAAAAAAGGGGCCCTTAAGGCCCTTTGACCAGAACACATGACTAAATCAATGGGATTAGAAAAAAAAAAAAAAAAAAAAAAAAAAAAACACAATAAAATCTACCTAAAACCTTTTTTAAAATCAAAAACCTTAAATTAAGACTATACGCTTTTGTTTCCAATGCATAAATGGTTCCTGAAGTCTATGGATTTCACAGGTGAAGGTGGTTGTACATCCCCACAGGTACATGCAAAGGCAGATGGTTTCAGCTTGACAACATTCAATTCAGAAAAGACTGAYCATAATTTAAGATGATGAACTAGAAAAATACTTCTTTGGAGTTTGCCTTTATTTGAAAGGAAATATGTTTAGCACCTGTGTGTCTATGCTGGGCTCCTTTCCCTGTGTCAAAGTAAACCATGAAGAACATTTGCTAGCAGCCTGTGCAAGGTTTCCTTCCTCCTCTATCCTGAGACTTTTTGTATCTGTTTTTTTCCAGTAGAAAAGAAACACCTTATGATAAATTTAAAGCTTAACGTAGCTTATGAAAGAGTAAGGGAATAAGTACTTTTAGGTGTATTTGTGGGTTCTTTTGCAAGAAGAAATTGTCATTGAGGTGTTTCAGTCTGGTTATAGAGGCAGAGTATCATCATCAAATGATTTGGGTTGGAATAGATCTTAAAACTCATTCAGTTCCACCATCCTGCCATGGGCAGGGACACCTTCCACTAGATTAGGTTACTCCAAGCTCTGTCCAACCTGACTTTGAACACTTCCAGAGATGGGGCAGCCACAGCTTCTCTGGGCACCCTGTACCAGGACCTTGACACACTTGACAGAAAAAAGAAAATAAACTTGAAATCAGTAGTAAGATTGACAATAATAAACTGGAATTGGCAAGGGGTACAGTGTTTTCTGTCATTTGCAGTCTTTTCTCTCCAGCACAGAGGCTACAGGTTGAAACCTAGTAGCCTCGTATCTCTGATACTGCCAATGAATTGAGAGTTGCACTGGTATGCTAAGGATTTAAACTGCAAAAAATAAAGATAACTGGTGGTACCTTGTCATATGTAGAGCTATGACTGGCATGTGGAGATGGTTAGGCATCTTCTTGCATGAGTTAGGGTGAGGGGGAGTGTTTTCCCTGCACTTCAGTGAAAAGTTGCTGAAGTGTTAAAACAGGAAAATGAGTAGCTGGGAACTTGCTCTTTAATTGTACAGAAAAGGGCCTTTGAATTATTTGGTGCAGAAAATATATTAAGACGTTTTTAAGCACTGTGTACTGAAGAGTAACCAAATGGTCTTGAATCATTTTTGAAGCCCTGGACTGCCCACARAAGGGGGTTGAAATAGAATGATTTTTAAGGTCCTTTCCAGCTGAAAACATTCTGTGATGACTGTTAGGAATGTCCAACAAATACTTCACGACATCTGGTCCTACTCCAAACTTCCTATGATTTTAGTTTTGCRCAATGCTTGGCCTCTTTTGAAAAACATTTTTTTTWAATTTRGTTTGGTTTGGTTTGKTTGTGGGTTTTTTAAAAGTTTCTTGGTGTTTTCATCCAGCTCACTAAGTTTTTTAGCAGATTTGAAATTTTCTGTGATCCTGTTTTCTGTAGCTGCCTTTAGTAAATGGATTTAGAAAAGCTGTTCTTGTCACCCAGCGGAGAGTGGCTGATTAGGACCATGAGCTTTTTGGGTTAGCACTGAATCTTTCAGAGAGTGGTAGGCACATCAGCCAGTCTCTCATGGACTACATAGAGGATTTAGACTCATAGAATGGTTTGGCTTGGAAGGAACCAACATCATCTAATGCTATCACTTGAATACCCAAACTACCTAGACTGCATCTTCTTTGATGACATTTTTACTAGAACTTCTATAATCATTACTTGTAAGAGCCTAATTTATTACAGTAGAGCAAACATTGTTCAGAAATTGTCTTTTATGGCAAAAAAAAAAAAAAAAAATCAACTTGTCCCAGCTCTTAGCCAGAACTTTCCCGGAGGCTCGTAGATCTCCAGTACTTCAGGACTTCCTTCATGTTCGGCCAGCTAAAGGCTCTGAAAGTCTCTGCGCCGGATTTTTTTTTTGTTATTAAGGATGCTGCCCAAGACTTGCAAAGAGCTGGGACCAGTTCTTGGAGCCAACATAGAGATTGGCAGGAACCTCTGGAGATTATCTGGTCCAACCCTCTTGCTCAAAGCAGGATCATGTCCAGCTGGGTTTTTGGAAACCTACCATGATGGAAACTCAACAACCTTTTCCAGTGTTTGACCATCGGCTGTCATGGTTTTG